TCCACATAAGCATATAGGTTCACTTAACAAATAAATCAAGTTAAACATATAATGCAATTCCACAAAAGCATAAAATTAAATTAAAACAAGCATATAATTAAATTAAAACAAATAATGCAATTAAACAATTAACCAATTAGGCAAATAAAAATGCAATAAAATGATTACTTAAAATACCGAGGCTATCATTTTAAAATTAAGGGTATTACAGTTTGATCGGCTGAAAATGAAGGTTCGATCGGCTAACAAGGTTCGTCGGCCAGTCGAAACGACACTTCCAGATGCTCAACTCTCTGGAATGCCCAAAACTATATTGTCGGTCAGCTGAAGCTCCTTGTCAGCCGGCTGATAAGTCCTGGAGTGTTGCTAGTTGCAGCTGAAAACACAAGGAAGCTATACTCGTTGAAAGCCAAACCTAATAGACAACTAATCCCGAATTTATGGCAACATAAATAACATTTCATAGATATATGCATTAACCAACTTTCCAAATTATACATCATTTCCCATTCAAGGCACAACATAGACTGGGCCTCAAATACACCAAATACTGTTGAAATTATAGTTACAAAGCATGGCTATGCTTTACACAAAATAATTACATTTCCAATATATTACTTTACAAAAAGAATGGGATCCCATATACAAAAGACAGTAAAATAACTCCTAGTTTGTCAAGCTTATGGTGGATTTTCTTCCGCCACTTCCTTTCCATGCCCTGAAAATATTAAGATAAGGGGTGAGCCTAAAGCTCATTAGAAGTCGTCTAAGGCGTTAGTTTTGGACTCCCTTGAGCCACATAACACATAAAAGGATACAAGATAAAAGGGGGTCATGCATCGGGGTCAATGAAACATTAAAATAGGTCAAGCAACATTCTACGTATATAACACAATTATATAATGCCGTGTATGATATGAAATGTAATGTACCCCGTTCCTAACTCGGTCTGAACCGGCCTAACCCACATATTTCAAAAACCATCTAACTGACTTTACCAAGGCGAGATTGATGACTATCCCCGGTTCCAATTCTGGCAAAGCCTGGCAACCGTTACAGAGCCTAGCATCAACTTTTTCACGCCCAATACCGGGCCGCGCTCCTTTTAGGTCAAGATAGCCCCGGACTCGCGAAATCCGGTTCATTTTAAAAAAACTCTTCCCTCCCATGAAAGAAACTTCACTTTTTAAAACTAACTTTTTCCTTTTAAATTTCCCAAATCCCTCATTTATGTCATGGTATGATATGTAATGGCCTTCAATCTCAAAATCTCAATTTTATCATCATAACAAGAATAATATCATCATGGTATAAATGATAGTCAACTAAGATTATAGCATACCTTGAAAAATTAATAGAGCAATACACCAATATCACATGTAATACATGTTCAAGAATCATTTACAAGCAAGCTTGACATGTAAGCACATACAACTTCACATATTAAAATTTTAAAACCTTTCCAATTCATTAGTTTCATAATAAAGTTTGCAATTTAGGCATAAATCAATGAAATTCAAAATTTTGTTCAATTAAAGAGGCAAAACTCATGCATTAGGAGAACCCCTACCTGAATTAGAGAGTAACTCCACAAGAAGCCCCAATTTCAACCCAAACCCTAGAATTTTGAAATTCCCAAAGGGTGGCCAATCGGAGATTGGCTCCGATCAAAACGTAATTCTTGGTGAGCTCTCCAACTTTGCTTTAAGTGGTACTAGCAATTTCTCAAAGATGAAAGATAGATCAAAGTTTGAAGCTTTAAAGAAAAGAAAAAGAAAATGAAAGAGAAGAAGGAGGGAGAGAGCAGTGAGATCGAGAGAAAAAAATGAGGCCAAGAAATGGCCTCTTGACCAATTAAATAATTAAGTGGGGGTGGGCCCATAACAATAAAAATATCACCATCATTTCCATCATTTTTCTATATATACATATGTAATTTCATTTTCGACGACTCAAAATTTTAAGTTAAAATAATGTAATTATGCACAAAATAATTATGAATGAAATGTAGTGGACCCGAGACGCAACCCCCATACACAATAATTCTGGTAGCGGGTCGCACCCGGGACTTCTTGATCCGAAAAACAAAAAAAGGTCAAAATGGCAACCAATGCATTTCCAAGAGTCTTGAACTCAAGGAAATGCCCCACGCAACTCTTAAATACAACCGGCACACCCTACGGTGTCCGGCACGTAAAACAAGAAAAGACGATAATACCCTCGAAAAAAAATAGAAAATTTCGAAAATTGGATAATGCCAAAAAAATCAAGAATATTACACAAATTTAGTAACATTAAAATGTTTTTAGAAATTTAAAAACAAAACATATAAAGTGTTTAATAAAAATTGTGTTTTTGCTTTCTTAAATTGAGAACAATTGTTTAAAAAATAAAATTGCATTTCATTTGTTAGAAATTGAAATTTCCATAACACAACTTTATCAAACCACTTATCTTTCCAAAATGGAATCAAACAAACAAATTTCATTCCTTCAACATGCACATATTAGATCGAGTGATTTTTAAATTTCTTTTCAGATAAGGTTATTTCAACACCTCACTTACGTTAAACAATTATTCAAGAAATGTTAAAAGAAAAAATATATATCAATATAGAAACATGGTAAAAACCAACAATGAATAAATGAAAAAATAACTCATTTAAGATTTCGCCTTAATCGTTCATAAAATAAATTTGTTGCTCCTAACTAGCATAGATATGAGAAACATAAATCACATTGAAATAGAAAAAAATCTTGGATATGAGAAAAAAATCCCAAAATAATATCTATAAATTGTTAATTATAAATTACTAATCCCCTATTTATAGGTATGTTTACACCATCCAATAACTTTACACATACACATTATAGATTATATAATCTTACAAATTATTTACTGTTCTAAAATTTTCTCTACCCTCTACAAATATCTACCATTTCACCAATATTTTAAAAATTTTGATATTTTACAATTCTACTCATGCAATGCTTGCGTTATACATTCTAATAAACGATTGGTTATCACTTGCACGGCTAAACCTCATGCATTAATTTTGATGAGTTATGACAATCTATTATTCTAAAGTGCCCATACTTTTTAACACCATAAAAACCCTAAATACAAAGTATCGATCACTTGTATGGCTTAACCTCGTGCATTAATATTTAACGAGCTATGATAACGTGTTACTCTGTAATGCCAATACTTTGGCACATAAAAAGAAAACCCAAAATGCAATTCAGTATACAAATGCAAACTTATTACCACTTAACTTTAAGCCTTTAACCAACCAAAAAATAAAAGAAGAAGAAATTACAACCAATGGTGTCATTTCATCATCTCTATAGGTAAAAAAAAAATGGAAATTATATAAATGTGTGCATATGGTGTATTCCACACTTTTTTTTTATTTTTTTCCTTTTCATATTTTTTCCCTTTTTTCTTGATTAAAAAAAGAAGAAGAAAAATAAGTACTATTAACCAAACAAATGAATATACAATACAGTAAAGCCCAAAAAAATCCACGCATTTAGTATTCAGGCGCTAAAAATAAACTTAAAACCATTGGAACTTGATAGAAAATGAAACAAATAAAAGAAATGAAAGGAATGGTGGGAGTAACCACTGTCACTTTGGACCACTCCATCCACCCAGCTATCTATGAAGGAATTCAAAATATACGCGTCATGAGGCCTAGGAAGCACCTATATCGACACAAGACGCGATCTTATAGAGAAGGACACAATTAGGGATGACAATTTGTTCCCAAACTCTGCCCTAATGACACTACGGTATGAGCAAGTATGAATTTAGATTTTAAATTTGTCACGATTTATGAGACGAATATGGGTTTTGGTAAACATCTGCTCCATCCTTTGTACTTTTATTTTTTAAAATTATACATAGTATATATATACACGCAGATATATATGTGTTATAAATGTATGCACATTATTGTATTCATATATATATATATATATATATATATATATATATATATCATTATTTATTATGTATTTACATTTTATAGATTTTATCAACTTATTTATATAGATAACAAAAATTAAAAAAAGAGGTGAACAGGGCAAGGGAGACATAGGTAAGTTCATCTCCTAATGGGTGGGGTATGAATTATGAGTTTTAAATCTGTTGTGGGTATGAAATCGGTATGAATTTTACTATAATTAAACAAGACGGGTACGAATTTAAACAAACTCGCTCCATACTTAAATGCTTGTTATTTTTATTTTGTAAAAATTTTGTATTATTTTTTACTTAACTCAAGATATATTTTAAATTACATTGAATCATATTGTCTTATTTTTAAAAATTACAAAAATTATATGGCGTGTCTTGAAAGTGTCCAAAGCTTATCTTTACCATGTAAATATAAAATATTCAATTTTCGAGATACTTTTAACCATATTCAATACGTGTTTGACGCATATTTACATATCCGAATGTATGATACTGCCGCTACACCTTCAAAAAAGTATTCGTGCTTCCTATCATGATACCCACTTTAAGGCCATCTGCACCAGCCTCTCCAGATTTTGGCTCTCTAAAAATCTCACATCAGCTTTTCAAGAGTCACGTCAGCAATTCCAAGAGACGCGTCAGCAGCTTTCGCTTTCCAAAAACATGCACTCCATTAGGCTCTCCGAATTTTTGCTCTAAAAATAATAACAATAATAATAAATTAAAATTAATTTTTTTTTTTAACTTTTCGTAAACGGTTATATTTTTAACGACTGTATTTTTCATCTTATATAATGAATACTCATTTGCTCATCTGAAAATCATCACTACATTCATTTCTCTCCATTGTAGCAAAATATCATCATCCATCTTTTTCAATTTTGAAAATTCCAATGGCTTCGTCATCACAAGCTTTTCTTTTGGCATACTCTAATTTTTCATCTTCCTCTTCATCCTCTTCGGAAGATGATCTTTTTGGGGCGTTGATTCAACAAGATCAAGACTAATTTTATGAAATTATGAATTCAGTGAGGCCAGAGATAGTTGAGCTAGTATTTCAAGTCCGTAAAAAGAAGCGGTACATTCATCGTGACCGAGAAGAAAGCCATTATCAGCTAATGAAAGACTACTTCAACGAGAATTACACATATCCACCCGGAGTACTTTTACAGGCGATTCAGGATGCGACGAGAACTTTTCTTCGTATCCTTAATGATGTCAAAGCTTATGATGACTACTTTGTCCAAAAAAAGGATACGACTAGTCGTCTGGGGTTATCTTCTATACAGAAGATGACAACTGTTGTTTGTATACTCGCATATGGCTGTGCAGCCGATCACTGTGATGAATATATTAAAATCGGCGAAAGCACTGCCATTAAATGCTTGAAGGTATTTTGTAATGCTATTGTTGCTGTGTATGCGGAGGAGTATATGTGTCCACCCAACGAAGCCGACATAGCATGGCTGTTTGAAGAAGATGAGCAGAGAGGATTTCCAGGTATGTTTGATTCTATCAACTGTATGCACTGGGAGTGGAAAAATTGCCTAGTAGAGTGGCATGACACACATATGGACGATCTGGCAAGAATACTCGTGTAAGACCCCTAGTTTTAAAAGGGTTATAATTGGAATTTTAATATTCCTTTTATTGTTTTCATTATTTATTTTATTTGTTTTTGGTATTTATGTGGTTAGGCTTTTTTGAATTAAATTAAGCGCTGAGTGAATTTAAATGGTTATACATTAAATTGATTTGTTAGTTGTTTTATTTTTCCTTGGTTTAATTGGTAATTGTGATATTTAAATTAATTGGATTTTTATTTTATTATTTGAATTGTTGGACCTATTTGTAATTACTTGAATTATTTGCGTTAATGATATTATTATTTGACTGAATGGATTTATTGGTGATTATTGTTATTGGTTGCGTTAATTTCATTATTGGGTTTAAATTATTGTAATTAAGTTAAGTGAGTTTTTAGACGTCACCTAAGTGTAGCCGACATAGATTTTAAACGTAGGCTCTGTTTATGGGCCGACTAGTATTTAGATTAGGGCTCTGTTTTTAATCCTACAGGGAATAGGGTTTCAATTAAGTCTATATATATATAGAGCAGTATGTCACCTTAGGGTTTTAGCAATCACAGACCTTATTTACGTTCAGAGTATTGAGAGAACAAAAGAGAGGAACAGAGAGGGGTCGTGAGAAACAAACATAGCTACTTTGGTGAGGGTTTGGCCGTGGCTTACAGGACGGACGTAAGAGAAGGGAAGATGGAGCAATAGGAGATTTAACAGTGAATGGGATCGCCGGAAAAACTTAGAACGACGGCAATAGAGTTTTGAATCCAAAACTGTAAAGGCAAGTTCTCTCCTTTCTCTTTCCCGTTGGCCTGTGTTTTGTGCATCCTAGATATCTCTAGGATTTTAATTGGATATTAAATGGATCTTACATGCTTTATATAGGTTAAATTAAGTAGATATATGTGTTGAAATTAAACTGAAATTGTTCTGGAAAGTTTGGGTCAGTGGTTGATTTGTAAGCATGTTTGAGTCGGTAATAGTTTATATGTTTCTTTTGAATGCAAACTATTTTAAATAAATAACTAGAATGATGTAAGATGAAATTTAGACCCTTGGGTTCAGTTTTAATAAAGAACAGAGGAGGTGGAAGCGGCCGGAGACGGTGCAGAAGGCCGTAGAAGTGGCAGGAACGCAGACGGTTCTCAGAGAGGGAGAGAGCCGGCTCCATGGAAGAGGGAGCCGGCTCCCCCCCAAGAGTGGAGCTGCCTCTAGGGAAAGTGGAGCAGGCTCCACCCTTCTAGAGCCGGCTCCAATAAATATTGGAGCCTGCTTCATCATTTTTTGGAGCCTGCTAAACTAGTTTAAGAGCAGGCTCCCCTTTTATGCGTGAAATCTGATAGTTTGGGCATTGTTTGGAACTTTAAATTGTCGCAAGGACTGAAATAAAATTTTTAAGAGTAATTTCAAGGGGTTTTAAACTCTCTAATTGGGAAATTTGGTTTATAGAGCAATTAGAATAAACAGTGTAAAAATAAGCAACTTTGCACGCTGCAAACGAATAGGAAGGACTATTTTGCTAAATCTTGTTTTAAAAATTTAACGGATTGTAGTGTAGACTCCAAAAATTATAATGGGTTGTTTTAGAGCCTAATATGCATAATTAGTGTCCTTGTGCTCATGGATTTAACCGTAGAGAAGTATATAACGGTGTAGGCTGCTAACGGATGAAGGGGGTTTAATTGCCTAAATTAGTTTTAGCAATTTAACGGAATATGTATATATTTATAAATCTTGTTGGGGTGGCATGCTAGGATCATTTAATTAACAAGTTTGATCTAGGCATATCCTGGATGTTAATTGTTGAAATACTAAATACTTTTCTGGAATGCATGGACTTAAGCTGGTAATCTTAATTGCAGTAATATTAAGCATTTCACTGCAATTACTTGGATTAGGGTTTGGACTTAAATTGCTGAACTAGTACTTAGGTTCTGTCAATCTAATTGGATGTTGGCCTGGAATTAATTGAAGAATTAAATATATATTTTCTGTCAATTTCATGGATGAATGCTGGAATTTAACTTGACGAATTAGTAAACTTTGTCTCGTTTGATTACATGGATGGATTCTGGATTTGTAGTTGATAACTTATTTAAATTCTGTGTTTAACAACTATATGGATAATCTGGACTTTATTTAATGTACTGCTTATAATGTTGCATCATTTACGGATCATTTGCATATATGCACCGGTATGGGACGGTGGCATACGGAGGGATGGATTAGGTCACAACGTTAATTCCTACCCATTCATACATACGGAATGGATTAACTAAAAACAGTTAAATCCTACATGGTTTCATGTCCTGTCAACTAAAACAGTTGAACGACATATTAGATGGTTGTTTATATTTATGCTTTAGGATGAATAGGGTTTTAACTAAAACATTTAAATCCTAATTTTATGTCGTGTCATGGCAATGAATCAGTTGAGCGGCACTACATTGGTTTGGATGGGAATTTATATATATAGATTATGGTACCGCGATTTGAGCTTGAATCTCATAGTCGACGGTTAGGGTGCGTATATGCAGTAGGATGCGTAGCTAGCTATGTTGGTTGAGGTATACCCTATTAGGCTTAGGTAGTCATGCCCACTCAGGTGCGTATTACATGTTACCTTCTATTCAGGTTGAGACCATCAGCATAGTTAGTGAGAGTCCTGTAGTGTGGATATATATTTATCTATTACGGACTATATAGATATGATTGAGATGTCTAGGATGTATCTGCGTATCGGGTCTCTGTTTGAATTGTAGTTAGGATAGAACTTGTTGGTGGGCTTGACCCAGTATTATTTTTCAGGTAACGGACGGTTCCAGGTCTTAGAGCTTGTTCGTGCTGAGCAGAGACGTCTTCTCATTCTTCCAACGACGTAGGCGGTTCCTGTATGGTTTAGCATTGGATTCTTTTTCGGTGGTTCATTTCTCAGTGATGATTTTTATTAGGGGTCCACCAGAGGGATTCCCGAGTTGTATTAGAAATAGAGAATTTGGATGTATCAGAATAATTCTTTATTAATTTAATTTTATTCTGACGTTTTAGTATTTGGTTTATCATTCTAGTTTCTTTTCAGCAAATTTTTATTTATTCCTGTTTCCTTAATTGTATTATGTGTTCGTTTATTGCTAATTTGTTTGATATCCTCGGGTAGTCGGGCATGGGCCTGGCCAACCCGCATCCGGAAATCCGGGGGTATCACAACTCGTATATTGGAAGCAGTTGCCTCACAAGATTTGTGGACTTGGCATGCATTCTTTGGAATGCCATATTCACACAATGATATAAATGTGCTGGATCATTCCCCAGTATTCAACGGTATCGTCAATGACCAATTACCTTCGGTTAATTATGTAGTGAATGAATATCACTATAGAATGTGGTATTACCTGTCTGAGGGTATATATTTTAAGTGGACAACTATGATGCAGACCATCTCGCACCCAACCACTATAAAAGAAAAATTGTTTGCTCAACGACAAGAGGCATGCAGGAAAGATATGGAATGGGCTTTTGGGGTATTGCAGATCAAGTGGGCAACAATGCAAGGACCGGTGCGTTACTGGGAGAAAGATGACTTGGGCCTCATAATGAAAACGTGCATCATACTTCATAATATGATCATTGAAGATGAATGTTACGCAAATGTTGGAAGATGAACTCCGCCACCAGATGATGCAATCCCGATTCCCACTTTAAGTCGATGCTTATCGATTTTAGCGGTACACGTATCCTTTCGCCAACTTCAGATTCACAACAGAGAGACAAATATGTGGTTGAAGAATGATTTGATGGAAAATTTGTGGAACCGCTATGCTGATGAAGATGTTTAATTTATGTTGTATTTTGTTTTATATTAAGATGTTATGACATTTCGTGTACTAGTATTTTTATTATGTAATGGTTTTTTAAGATTAAAAATAATGAATTGGAATAAGAAAATAAGTATTACAAAATCCTATGGGAATAAGTAGATGAATTTGTAATTTTAATTATTTTTCTTACAAAAAGTAAAAAAATAAAATATTTATATATATATTTAAAAAAATTATAGCCGTTAAGGCACTATTTGTGTCAGCCAAACAGTACCTTCATGTAATACCCCTAATTTCAAAAGGGATAAAAATGGAATTTAAATTTTATTTTTGTGCATTTTAAATTGATTTTGTATCTATATGCTTATGTGTCCAATTGTTTGTTTATTTTAATTCATTGTGTTATTTTTTTTAATTGTTTGTTTATTTTAATTAAGGGTGTAATTCTTTATTTGTTTGTTTATTTTAATTAATTGTTTTATTTATTTTATGTGTTTTAAGTGATTCGTTGCTTGCTTATTTGATTTAATTAATGAGTTTTATTAAATTAATTATTTATTAAGTATTTAATTTTTGAACAGGGTTCTTATGTAATTCCCATTAACTGGGGTTTTAGATACGTTTTAGTTAGGGTTTTTTGAGCCGTCTCATAAGCATCTGATATGTAACTAAACTTGGTTACTTTGTGAGCCGACGAAGTTAGGGCTCTGTGGATTAGGGTTTTAATCTAGCAATTATAAATACTTCAGTATATGTTAAACCTAGGGTTACATATTGTCGTAGCTTTTACACGGAAAAGTCTGCCAAATAGAGAGAGTTACAGAGGGAGTTTTGGTGAGAACAGAGCAGTTTGTGAGAATTTCGACTGGGGTTCCAAGGTTTAACCAAGGAGAAGGAAGGAGCAGAGGTTCTAGGAGGTTAGACAAGTTTCAATGGATGTTGAAAAAACTGAGACCAACGGCAACAAGGGTTTGTTTGCAAACCTATTCAGGCAAGTTCTATCTTCCTCTTTCCCTTTGGGCCGTGTTCTGTGCACCTAGATAATCTCTAGGGTTTAATCAAGCAGAAACTGGAATTGATATGTTTATTATGTGTTATATTGTTGGTCTGTATGTGTTGAAATCAATATCTGTTACAGTGTATGTAAGTGTTGTTTCAGTTTTCTGTACTTTAAGCATATGGTTTCTATCGTAGCCTTAGTTTCTGTATTTGATTGCAACTCTTGTAGACACAATATAGGAACTCTACTGGGGTTGTACAAAACTCATAGGGATGTTATTATTCTGTTTTAAATACGTGTGCAATCTGTTCCGTTTCTATTTCTGCATATAGTTTCAGTTTTGATACTAAAAGCTTGGTAAGTTCAATAGCAACCTTAAGCTTTGTAATTGATTTAAATTACTGTAATCAAACCTTGGAGATGTTAATAGAGTGATAATAAACCCTTAAGATCAGTTTAAGAAATAAACAGAAGGGTAGGGACTGACCAGAGAACGAGCAGATAGGTAAAAACGGAGCAGAGATGAACTGGAGGCTCTCAAGAGGGAGAGAGCCGGCTCTAGAAAGTCAAGAGCCAGCTCCCCTTCAGCAAGAGCCGGCTCCTAGGGAATTGGAGCCGGCTCCAATAGGGGAAGAGCCGGCTCCAATTTGTTTTACGTCCAGAAAGTGTTTTCTAGGGCTCTGTTTGGTGTTTTGAGCACTGTTTGAGCTTCTGAGTGATTCTAATGAACTGTAGGGACTTAACAGAGGATCTAAGTAGTTAATTCTAAGTGTTATTAAACTTATTGTTGTATGGTTTAAGTCTCTAAGACAAAGGATGAAGCAGTGTAAAAATATACAACGGTGTATGCTATTAACAGAGAAAGGAACTAAATAGCTTGATTAAATTTTAGAAATTTAATGAGACTTCATGGAGGGATTAAATAGTTAATTTTTGGGTGTTATTAAGACCCTAAATTGATTTAAGGTTAATTCTAAATTAACAGATCAAACTGTATAACACTTATGTACATTGTATACGGTTAGTGGATAGAAGAAGTTTTAAATACTTAAGCTTATTTTTAGGCATTTCAGTAGAATTTAATATATTTATAAAATGGTTTTAAATATATTATAGGGTCATTGATGTGTTAGATGTGATCTATGCAGGTTCTGGATGTTCGTTGTTGATTTATTAAATCATCTCCTGCAACTATATGGTTAATTGTTTGGATTTAAATTGCTGAAACACTTAAAAATCTTCTGTAATTATTTGGATATTGGTTTTAGATTTTAAATTATTGTACTATTATTTATAGCCTGTAATTTACATGGTTTTGGATTTAAGTTATTGGAATACTAAATACTATTCTGCAATGATATGGATGGTTGGTTTTGAACTATAAGTTACGTACTTATTATTTATGCCTTATAATTTACCTGGAATTATGTATTGGAACATAATTGCTGAATTCTTATACTTAATTCGGTTAATTATTTGGAATCATATATTGGATTATAATTGTTGAATTCTTATATTAAATTTGACCAATTATTTGGAATTATGTATTGGATTTTAATTGCTGAATTCTCACATTAAAATTCTGTCAATTATCTGGGTTTGGTTTTGCATTGTAAATTAATTGCTTATCATTTGAATGTTGTAATTTACATGAATATGGAGGATGGTATGCACCGGTATGGGACGATGGCATATTAGGTATGGTTTAGCTCAAAATGCTAATTCCTACCTTATGGATTTTAATTGGTGAACAGCTTTGCCTGTTCTATCAATTATATGGATTTTGTGGATTGTATGTACCGGTATGGGACGGTGACATACTAGGGACAGACTGATTCAAAATACTCAGTCCTACCTATTATGGGAAGAAGGGTACGAATTATAAAAACATAATTCTCCTTATATTTAAGTTTGTGCAGTTGAATAAACTGAACGACTTACTGGATCTCTTATATAAGTCTGTGCAGCTGAATAAGCTGAACGATTTATTGGAGTTCTTATGGATGGATTTAAATGGACGTTAAATATATGGTTATGGTACCACGAGATGAGCTTGAGTCTCAGACTCGTTGGTTAGGACGCGTATGCAGTGGATGCGTAGCTAGCTATAGTAGGTTGAGGTGTACCCTGTTAGGTCTAGGTACTTATGCCCACCTTTGGGTGCGTTTTCGCATGTTACCTTCTATTCAGGTTGAGACCCCTATTGTAGTTCAGTGAATGTCCCATAGTGTGGATATATATATGTATGGACTAGATGGATATTGTGAGGTATTTATGGTGTATCTGTGTATCGGGTCACTCTATGGATTGCAGTTAGATTAGAACTTGCTCGTGGGCCTGACCCACTCTTCTATTATTCTTTACAGGTGTTCGTTAGTTCCAGGCTGCAGAGCTTGATCGTGCTGAGCAGATACAGTTGTTCACTCCACCGATGACATATGAGTATATTTTATGTGTAGACTTGGGTTTTGTTTTCCGTCTTTTGAGTTCAGTGGGTTATTTTAGGGGTTCACTAGATGGATTTCCGAGTTGTATTGGAGAACGATATGTGTTCGTGGTGAATCAGTTGTATCTGAAATATCTTATTTATCAATGGAGTTATTTTTCTGAGGTTTTCAAATATTGGATTACTCTTTTAGTTTTCATTTCAGCAAATTTTATTTATCTCTTTTGATATAATTATTCTGTGTTCGTTAATTGCTAATTTGTTTGATATCCTCGGGTAATCGGGCGTGGGCCTGGCCAACCCGCATACGGAAATCCGGGGGTATCACACTTCACGACCAAATGCATTATTTGTGGTACACATTTAAAATTTAAAGCAAAAAAATAAAATAAAAAACAAATTTTAAGGGGAAAAAAAAAGGCTTTTTTAATTTATTTTTGGCCCAAATAAAATTTATTTTTGACAAACAGTGTCTCAACAATATATTTTTTATTTAATGAATTTTATTTTATTTTTTATTTAAAAAAAGAGTTCAAAATATCCTATTTTTAGGGGTTTATTTTATTTTATTTTTATATAAAAAAAATCTGCCAAACAGTGCAGATTAACTTATTAAGGCACTGTTTGGTGCATTGTTCCAGGAGCTGCAGAATAAGACAAAAGAGGGGCAGCCAAAATGGCGCCGTTTTGAAGCAAAAAAAAAAAATGCCAGCGATCGCGGGCCGGCTCGTTGAATATCGTGAGCCGGCCCGTGAGCAAAAATGGGCCCTACCAATTTTGAAGAGCCCGTTGCACGCCCAAAGCCTCTCTCTCTCGCAATTGAGCTATGAAGAGCCTGCTGCAGCTGCTCTACAAGATCTAAATAAAATTAGCAGTCAATATCACAAGTAACATTTAAAAATATTTTCACACGATTTCAAAATACCATACACATCATGAATCACAATTGTAAACGCAAGATATGAGTACACCACAACATACAAACTTGGTGATACGGCAAACTAAAAAAGAAAAAAGAAAACAATAAAATAATATGTTGTTATATATACAAAAGGTTTAATTTTGCTCTTTTTAACCAAATTATTACTGGTATTAATGTAATCAATAAATGGGAGTGTAGAGCTGTATGTGTTCTTTTTGTTTTATTTGTATTATTTATTATTAACTCATTATTGTGATTAATTCATTGAAGCATGTTTTTAAATTATCGAAATAATTGTTATTCTGTCTCAAACGTATCTCTGTTCATGTTATGTTCAAGTTGTATTTATATCAAGACACTATTCCTGTTAAATACGGATTTGATCAAATTCTATATGTGATCAATGAATTATAATTTGATTAATTTCAAATCGAGGTAGATAATTAGAAATAATTTATCAAAATCATCGTCAACTAAATAAACCTAATATGTGAATTATGATTAATTTGATTCAATAATTATCTAATATGACATAATATAATAAAAATATAATTCTCTAATCTATTCAATTTTTATTTATTAATAAATTGAATGTAAATTTTATTCATAATAACCCATAAAATTATCAACTCGAAACTCTGAATTCGAATTGGGTAGACGTGTCCGGGCTCCCAAGCCTCTAGACACGCAGACACATCGAGTATCCATACGCCATGAAAGCATCAAATAAGTGGCACTTGAGACGCTTACGTGGCTTAACGGTTTAGAGGAAGTGTCACACTTGGCAATAAAATTACATGTTTTGAATAATGAAATGACATGAATACCCTTCCATTCTAAGAGAGAGCCGGGATCGCATCTTTTAACGCCATTCCCATCCTCCGATTTCATCAACATTGCTCGTCTTTGATCTCTCCGGAGACCGGTGGACCTCTTTACCATGTCTTCACTAACGTGCACGAAACTGACGTTGTGCACCATAGCCGCAGTTCTTATTCAGATCATTGGTCTCTCACTCTTCGTTCTAGGGTTCTTCCCCGTCAAACCAACACTCTCTGGCTTCAGGTAAATTCGTTGCAAGAAAACGAAATTAAGATCCTTATCTTTTGTTTTACAATTCTTTTGGTTTTTGAAAACTGATTTTTGTGATTATTTTGTTTGCTTTTTTGGTTTGTTATTTTTGAATTGTTCCGAACATCTCAGTGGTCCGGAGAGTTTTCGTTCACCCGAGGGCAATTCGATTGAGGATCAAAATGTGACAAATCTGTCTCCCGAACAGCTCAAATTGCTTTATCAGGTTTGTTACTGTCTTTCTGATGATTATTTCATCGATTTATTGAGACCTTAGCTTTAATTCAGTGGACTGGTTGTGGTCAGTAGCGTGCTAGTTAATGTGCTTTACTTTTGAAAATGATTAGCAGTTCTTGATTGGTGTGGGTGTGCTGTTTTGCAGTTTGAATGGTTAGTTTTAGGTGGATTAAATGGATTGATAATGTATAAAGTTGCATTGTAATGTGGCTTCTAGTTATATTGATTGATCATGAGCATGGTACTGGATATGTCAGTTTCTGTTGGTGTGATTGAAGCATGAATTTCAGGATATAATCTGGAACTTGCAAAACTGGATCTGCCACGACTCTTGATTGCGTAGGAGTAGTTGTCACAACTTCATGGCTTGTAAACTGTAATGCCCGAAGGTGGAAGATGGAGTTGGGAGGAGGAGAACAAGAGGAGAAAAAGGGAACATGCTTTACCTCACCAACATAGTTTGGCCAAAATCTGGGATACCAGTTGGATGATATCTTTTGACTGATTGAACCATACAGGCCACAAATATAGTAGCAAAAATCTTGATAATGAGAGCTTAATATCTTTTAATGTTTTCCCTAGTACATCTTGAGACCGGAGAGGATTTGTTCAAGATTTCATTCTTTTAATGGGTAAGAAATAGAAAGAAAGAAAGAAGTGAAGTGTAGAAGCCCAACCAACAAGGGGCTAACTTAAGGAGGCAGACCCTCTGAAGAAAAAAAGAAAAAAACTGACTAACAAAATGACCCAAACAACAAAAATAAGGTTGCAACTCCACAATAGGTCAGGGAAAATACATTTATCATCCATTGGTTGTAAAGGCCATAGATGATTAACCGATACTTATAATCATTGTCAAACCCTCTTCGATTAAGTTAACCGATACTTGTTTCACCAAAGCAGCAAGATCCTCTTTCCTTGTAAGCCTTGGAAATGATTTACTTCAATTTGGTACAAGCCAAATGAACAATCTGGTTTCAGTTGCGTGGGTTAGTCAGCAGCCTGCAGTTTGCTGTAACAAGATGCCATGTATCCTCTGTAAACTTGCATCCGAAAAGCAAATGATCATGTGTCTCCAGATACATAGCACACAGCAGTTGAGATGTCAATTGTCTGTTTTAAAAGCGGGGTGGTCTTACAAAGAATTTCAAAATAGTGTATATATATATATATATATTTATCCTTTTGACTTGCATTTTGTTGAATTTCTTGTCAAAAAGTAAAACCAAGTTGATTCTTCAAGCTCTGTTACTTAACACTGTATAATCGTGGTAGAAAAATATATTAATTAGGCTTTTAGTTTGTGCATCTACTATTTCAAGTTGTATTTCTGGTGCAGGAAATGTCTGAAATCCCCCCTCCATTTGACAGATTAGTATTAATGGTATGAGTTTGATTTTCTTGTTTTGAAATGAACAGTTTTTGAAAAAATACACATATATTGTTGCATGGAGGATAAGCTTCACTTTGTCATTTCAATTATGTCATTGTAGGTTGTTGATGGTCTTCCAGCAGAGTTTGTGCTTGGGAAAGATGGTCAGCCTCCATCTAAGCATTTGATGGAAGCTCTGCCATATACTCAGTCCTTGCTGTCTAACAGAATGGCAATTGGGTATCATGCAAAGGCTGCGCCTCCAACTGTTACAATGCCTCGTTTGAAGGTGACTGGTTCTGTCATTTTCCTGAATATGCATTATATATTTGACTCTCAAATTCGGTTGCCCCTATTTTATTGACTTGTATTACCAGGCTATGATGTCTGGGGCAATTGGGGGTTTCTTGGATGTGGCATTCAATTTTAACACACAGGCTCTTTTAGATGACAATATTATTGGTTAGTTGGTGCACACGTGTTAAAATTTTCTTATTGCTTTAGTGGTCTTCAGTTAGTTCAATTACAAATGTAATTTAGTTGTTCTACATAATGTGTTTTAGGCCAGTTTTTTAGTATTGGTTGGAAAATGGCGATGTTTGGTGATGAAACATGGCTAAAGTTGTTTCCAGGATTGTTCACAAGGCATGACGGAGTTAGCAGTTTCTATGTAAGTCATTTGCATTATTGGCATTGTCATACATTCTTATTCTAGTACTTAACCTGCTTTTTCCTATTTTCTCTTCCAACTTTCACTAACGAAGGAAAAAAAAAATGCATGAGGAATGAATCATGAAGCAATTCAGTGACAGTGCCAGGAATTCACTTGCGGGGGACAATAATAAAATAATTTTTTTGGACTAAAATAATAGATATAAGAACTTAATATTGATTAATAATATTTTCATTTGTAACATAAATTTTATATTAAGCAAGATTTTCATACAAATTGAAGAGAAAAACCATGTATATTTAAGTACAACAATTATACAAGAAAAACAAATTCAAATGTGTGCATGTGATATAGTACATTCATCATTTCTTCTTACAGTATTACTAAGAATTTCCAATAAGTTAAATTAGTAAGGGCTCTACAAACCTAGAAAGTCCTTGCTTGCAATAACTAAAATTAATGAATGAAACTCGTCTTTGTATTGGGAACTTGAATTATTTTTAGTGATGTTCCTTCAAATAAAAAACTAATTGATAATTAGACTGAACCAAATAACTAAGGGAATTGTGTGCTTCACATTATTGTCTTTATAGGTGTATACTCATAATTATCAATTATCTTATACAATAAAAGGGCATTATTTTGTGGCTTCTTAGAGATTTTGATCCTTCATTAAAGAGATAATAGTTGAAAGAGAACCAATAGCATAGAAGAAGAGAGGATTAAAGATGCAGATTTGGAGTGTTCATTGACTAGAGCGAAAGAGAGATAATGAGATCAAATTGGTGATTAAAATTAGGAGTGTGGGTGTGTGTATTAGGGACGCGTTCCCCTTTTGAACACTTTTCTAATATTTTTTTTACTTATCAAAAAAAAAAAAAAAAAAAAGAAGTGTGGGTGCAGTTTTAGAATTTTAAAATTCTATATATACAAGATGGAAATTAAATAAAATTGAGGGGGCAATTGTAGGGGCAGTTTTAGAATTTTAAATTTTATAAATAGAAAAAAAAAAAAAATTAAAAATTGAGGTGGAACTAGTCCCCTTGAGCCCCCACACGGCTCTGTCGGTGTGGACAATGTCCCAATAAAATTCCCCCTTTCAAAAATCTCTCTTAACTGTTTTTTCTTTTCTCTTTTACCTTTTTCCCTTTAAAGTTTCTTTGATCGCTTCAAGAAAATTTGCATTCACTTTCTTCAATCGAACCCTAATTTTCCTCTTCAAAGTTCTTTCATTTTTATTTTTTCTTCTTCGTGTTCTTCTTTTATTTTATTTTCTGTTGTTAAATTCTTTTATTCTTGCACTTATATATGATTGATGTGTAATAACATTTTTCTCACTTCTTATTTTATTTTATTTTTTACCTCTTGTTCATTAAATTTCACTGCAATTTTATGAACTTAATGTTCATATTTTATATGTTTGAACTTCTTACTATATGTATTTTAGAATAATGACATAGTATTTGAATCTTAGTTACTGAAATTCTACTTTTTGGCCTGCGGTTTTGCTGCCCTGGTAGTTGAAAAAAAAAAAAAACTAATTGATCATGCTCATTGCATCCCCACTGAAATAAATTCCTGACTTCGTCCCTAGCCATTTGCTGATGGTATAGTTTAAATTGAGAAAACTAAAATAGGATAAATTTTAAATAGAGTTTTGGAGAGAATCTCTTGAATCAAGAGGTTCAAGGATCACTATAACTAAAACTGATTATATGAAATGTAATTTTAGTAAATCTAGAAATATAGTTATGGATTTAATAAGATGAAGGGTTCAAAAGATATCAAAAAAATGAAGTTTTTCATTATTTAGGCTTGGTTGTTCATAGAGGGAGAGACTTAAGATGCTGTTACTCATAACACTAGAGGAAGATAGGTTAAATGGAGGAGTGCTTTTGGCATACTACGAGTTGGATGTGTCGGAAGAGAAGAAAGGATAAAATTGGAAAAGAATACATCCATGTGGAAGATATAAGTAGAATACTTTGGGAAGAGAAATTGGTGCTTCAAGCCCCTAGATGTAGAACAACAGTTTTCAAGTATGTGCTGCAGATTGTTTTGCCTTGTTTCTCCCTTACCAACATTATCCAGTGTATATAAAAAGCAAAATATACCATGCAGGAACTCCAGTTTCCCATTATAAATGAGAACATCATTGTACAACAACTGGTCATTATTCTTATTAGAAAGGAAAAGGGTGTTAAGTATTTCTTATGTTTTATGTGAAGAAATAAGTATTTTCCACCGAAAGCACAAAAATGAGTAAGAATGTAGGAATGCTATGGATTTAGTTCATTCACTGGCAATACATCTGATATCTACTATAGGACCTTTAGCTTAAATACTTCCATAGTTAACTAATTGGCGGGCGCTATTGGCCAAATTTTAGGCTTTATCTAGGTCAATAGGTAAAAGCATATAAGATGCGGCTGGTTCCCAGTTTGGTTCTCCCTGCAATTTAGGCAGTTCTGGAAAAGTTTTTAGGCCTGCTGTTCAATGTGTGGTTCCCTGAACATTTCATGGAGTTATATGTTATTGTTGCTACACCTACTTAAGGTTCTTCAAGTCCCAATTTTATAATATTTACTTAAATACTTGTTACAGGTTAAAGATACTGTACAAGTTGATCACAATGTTTCTCGTCATCTGGATAATGAGCTCAACAGGACTGACTGGAATCTTCTGGTATTTTTTTGTCTCTATTTCTAGTCGATAGTTCTACTCTAGACTGACCATTCCATTTGTAATGCATGAGTCCACCAAATTTTCTATTTTACTGTAATAGGCACTCATGTATATATTTCTATATATGTATATTTATGTTAATTGGTCATATATATGCATCAAAAGCCTAGTACTTGTGTTGGACAACTTCTTAATTGTAATTTAAGCCAAAAAGGTTCTTCTTGCTACATGCTTCTTTTATTTATTTTTACAAAAAAGACATTTTCTTTTCTTCCAAGGAGTTGCTTTGGTTGATGAAATTCTTTATAAATGGTTTGATGTTTATTCCTGTAATGTTGGTTCATCCTTAATTACCAGAGTGATGTTTATTGGGCTTGTTAGTTGTTTGGTTTATATGTGAGAGTTTGCAATGCTAGTACTTCTTCAAGAAGTGAACTTTTTTTTCAGTTCATTGCTTGTTGTTGGTTTCCTTGATGGAGTCGCCACAACCAACAAAGCTTGAAGAGTTGTGTGAATTTAGGAGGTGGCCAAGTTTTACATTTATAAAAAGCCACTACTACCTTTCTCTATATAAAATATAGATAGGGCGAGTAGGGATCGTCCCAAGGGATTTGATGGTGTATCGAATTGTGAACTATGGTAATTAGGGTTAGTAGGTCGAATGATCACACAATTGTTGATTGATTGGTTGATTAAGCTAAATTGAATTCAACTAAATAAAATAATATGAGGTAAACAAGAGAGAGAGATGTCTTGGGGTGTAGAGATCACCACCAAGCGATACTTTTCTATACTACTAACAAGTGATCAATTGAGGGTAATGGATGTGTTGCAATATGATAAGGGTGTGTGTGCATTAGGTTGATTCAATTGGCAAGGATGACAAATCAAGCAAGTATTGTCTAAACATCATGTGAAGAGCACAATATATCTAAATAATAGAGCATATATTGTCTAGACAACATGGGGTTAGCACAATAGATCAAAACAAGTCATTAATCCTTCATTAAGCTCACAATCCACATGCAACACAATATTAGAGGAATATGCCATTTGGACTCACAAGCATGGAACATCAAACATCAAGAGTAGATTGTCCTCCCATCTAACATTATACTACCACTACACTAAATCTACACTACTAGCATGAAAATAAAGCTATCTAGACTAGGGGAGAGGCACAAACCATCAAGATTAGGCATAAACCATCAAATGAACCAAAATAGCATTCATTAAGCATATCATCTTGATAATCTCTAGATCTATAGCATCACTACACATGGACATGCATCAAAAACACTAAATCTAGAGATAAGCACATGAATATCCTACTCTAGCATACATAGACATATGGGTAGAATAGAATAGTCAATTGGAAGCATTAAACCATACAAACCATGAAATAATCAAGATTTATATATACATGAATATCAAGATGTATCATACAACACTAATCCCTCAATAATACACAAGATTAGAGTATAGAAAGCATGCTTGGGGCTAACTCTAGCCCCAAGAAGATGTCTAGCCACTCATGGTAGTGATGATCCAACCCTCAAGGGCTAACTCCATGGCTGCTCCTTGTTGGTGAAGATCTCCTCCAATGGTGCTCTAACTTCCTCCCTTCTTCCTCTCCAAGAATAGCCTTCAAGATGATTTTCAATGTGTGACAAGAGACTCTAGACTCCTCTCCAAAAAGTGTATTATATTCCTTATATAGGTAGGTCAAATACACCCTATGATGAGCTGTGGTCGTGCAAGGCATATTCTCCAATGATTGGGTGAAGGACGGAATAAATGAGTTAGACTTTAACTTTTTCTCGCTGGAGGAAGTTCGATCGATCAAACCTTAACTTGGATCGATCGAAGATGGGTTCGATCGATCGAACTGCATCTTGGATCAATCGAAGTGGTCTGACTCCTCCGGATAAGGACAAGGCTGAGATATTTCGAAGATATTTATGGGGAAAAGGACAAAAGTGGTTGGTAGGCGTACAGCTGTGGATAAGATCAATCATTTGAATAGGACAAAAAAGGGCTCGATCGATCGAAGGTGATGTTGGATCGATCGAACTTGGAATTTCAGCAAAGGCCAAGGTTGGATCTATCGAGAAGTACTGTGATCGATCATAGATGTTCGATCGATCGAACTCTAAGTTGGATCGATCGAACTTTTCAGCTGCACAACTTTGATTCCTTTTTGCTCCTTTCTTTCTCCACTTTGCTCCCTCCTTTGGTTTATCTCAGGATTGCTTTAATTAAGCTCTTATTTGGCTGAGTTAGCTCAATTTTGGGATTAGTGCCTGAAAATATAAATAACACGTAATAAGTCTAAAACGGCAAAGTAAGATAGATAAAGGTACTAGAATGCTTAAGCTTAACGGGTTTAAATGCGCACTTTTCAGTGCTCATCATTGCTTACACTCAAATACAACCCCCAACCCCAACACATGCACTCACACAGCAGATTAGTATGATTTTACATGTTTCAGATAGACTGAATACACCCGTGTGGGGCTACTTTTGCTTGATTGCTTATCTCAAAAATTGTCTAATCCCTGGGTTTTTTTTTTTTTTTTTTTTGAATCCCTGAAATTTATGTGTATGAATTATAATATTGATCTACTATACTTTGCTGAAGTGTCAAATGTTGTCTTTGGTTAACATTTTTCTCAAGTTATTGTGCTACATATATAGATTAAAAGTATCGTGTTCCATTGATTGAAATTTGAATGGTAAACCAAATTCTTTTGCCATCACTTGATTTTCACTGAAGTTGTCCTTCCAGGTTCTTCATTATCTTGGCTTGGATCATGTTGGACATATTGGTGGACGAAACAGGTAATTCCTTTATCCTTTGCTCTAGCTTAGTGCTCAAAAAATGCATTAGGGACTAATTGATTCTGGAGCTTCACCAGGTTGATTGTTCAACTATTACAGTGTTTTGATGGGCCCCAAACTCAAGGAGATGGATGAAGTAATTAAGATGATTCATTTGAGTACTATTCAGCCTCGAGATAATGATCATGGGCACACACTTCTGGTTTGTTCTAATCTGTTCTAGCATCTTGTATTAGTGGTATTCAATGGATATATCATACATAAGTAATTGTAACCTTACTTACCACTTGAAGTGAATATGCATATACATTATGGCAATTAATGAAAATTAACAAGATCATCATGGGGCACAATTCTGTGAGAAATTCTTGATCAAAGTCATTTTGCCGAAGACTGAGGCGATTAAGTAACAGTATTACCTATGGGTAGCACGACAAATGAGAGTTTTGGCACCTTTAATTCTAGCATGAAAACCAGAGGATTATTCTCTAGAGATTTTCTATTTTCTTACTATTATATTTTTTCATAGGCAATGGGACTCCATCATTCTAGCTTCTTGAGATATAATCCCTTGGTTTTATGAGGATGCATGTGTAGGACTGTGGAGTATGTACTTGTTGACCAGGCATCATATCAGATCAATATGATATAACCAAATGTAATGATGGGATGCACATTTTGAATGGTATCACACGAGTAGTCCTGTTATATGACAGCGCTTGGTACATTAAAATGCATAATGCGACATTTAAACCTCCATATGAGCTGCTGCTTCCGGTTTTTCCTTTCAATTCTTCTTCTACTAGCAATGAACTCTTTACTGAAGTTTCAGTAAACTGGCTACTTATTAATGACCAACGACATCCATATCATAACATATTTTGTCTTATGGGACACCTTTTTAGCCCATTGACACCTGTGTTACACTTATTGTTTATTCTTGAGTTCCCCATATCAGATATTTTATTTTATGTTGAACACTCAGGACATGGGCTGTGTCTTTGTGGCCGTTGAGGTTTTTAATGATCAAAACATGATTTAAGGTGAAAATCTATAGGCAACTGCTCCACAGTTTAATTTCCACTTCCAACTGAGAGAAGAAGAAAGAAAGAAAGAAACCAAAAAAAAAAAAACACATATGCTTCAACATTTTGGGCTGGAGGATACTTAATTACCCGCATGTAATAGTCACAATTACAACTATAATTTAACACTAGTGTACACTTCTGTCTTTATCTTATGAAGGTATTTGTTTTTAATTCTGCATAGATACTCATATGAGCTAAATTACAATAAAGTTCTTTTCTTTTCTTTTGGATGGTGAATCTGGTTGTCATTTTATATAGTTTATGTCCATTTGTTTTGTTATTTTGTTTTATTTTAATTTAAATGTGCAACCTATTCAGATGGAAGTGGCGGTGCACCATATGCAACAATATACGATCTTTTTGTCTGATTAACATTCCATTGCACTTACCAAAAATAAAAAGGCTCCTTTGCCAATTTAAGGCTATCATCCGTTTTGTCTTTCATGCTCAGAAGTAAAATTTGTTTACATCCCTACTGTATACTTTGGACATTACTGCACTCAACTATTCGATGTTTATTAATGTATGCTGTAATGGCAGCTACGCCCATTCAAGGATTTAAATATATTAGTTGATTTTTCTTTGTTTTAAATTTCAATTGTAGATGATAGTAAGCGACCATGGCATGACTGACAATGGAAATCATGGTGGTTCTTCACATGAGGAAACTGACTCCTTAGCAATTTTTGTTGGCCTGAGAAATTATGTCTCTGATTATGCGACAGCCAGCCATAAGACCGTTAACCAGGTTTGGGGCAGCTGTATGATAACATGCTTATGCATTTATTTTGTGCAATATGCTGAAGGTTCTATCTAGATTTGGGACAATCTTGCCCTCCCCTCATAACATTCATGTGAATGGCAATCTTGTCCAAATCACACTTTGTTTCTTCTGTTTTAAACATTTGTTTAAATCTTCTTGTTGTCTATTAAAATTCTTATCTAGCATATATTTGGTTTGCCAACAGGGAATTTTAAATGGTCATTGAGTTGGTTGTGTCTTTTTATCACCTGCCTGTTATTCTGGTTATCCAGGTTGACATTGCACCAACATTAGCGCTTCTTTTTGGTGTGCCAATTCCTAAAAACAATGTTGGCATCCTGGTTGCTGAAACTTTTGATTCTTTGACAGGTTAGAATTTTCTTTTTTGGCAAGTGAAAGGTTATTATTATTATTATTCTTGATTTTGTTGTTTAGTTTTTTTTTTTTTTCCTTTTTCAGTTTTATGGTTGATAAGATAAAATGCAGAAGTTAGAAAAGAATCAAATCTGATAAATAGTATAGAAAGTAAAAGTCCAATTAGAAGAAAAGAAAGAAAGAATAAAGTGTTGAGAGGTTAACACAGTAAGTGTTATCCTCTTGTTTAAAAATGTTTAAAGTGTAACTTGCATTTCATCCCCTGAAGGCTCCAGAAGATTCTTTATATTGATGTGTTGACATATTTCATGCTGTTAAAAAAAAAAGGTAGCTTAAATTTTCTAGGTTCATAAGCATGCTTGTTCATTTTTCTCTATTGTGAGAGTTCTAAGAAAGTTTCTCATTATTGTGATTTTAGGTTCTCCTAGCTTAGTTTCTTGCTTCAATTTCATCTTGCTATATTTTTTGCATATGTTAAACATGTAGCCCTTATTCTTGGTTTGGTTAATTTGGAATCCAAATGAATCAATTCTTACAATTGATGTTGGATAAACACTTGAATGACATGCCTATAATTTACCATTATTCACAGTGGGAAAGAATTTGTGAAGCCATAGAGTGTTTTTATTTATTTATTTGCATTAATCTGCTTATCACTTCAGTCAGAAAGATTAAGTGTTTCGTATTGTCTTACACCTACTAAACTGAGAGGTTCATAAGGTGTCTTATAAGATACGAATGAGTGGCAAGTAGGATAGAATAAGAAATTCTTCTGTGAGATGTTAGAGGAAACGGTAATTGAAGTCAAAATGAGGGGAAGTTATCTAAGTTGGTTTGTTCATGTGCGACGATGATTGACAAATGCACTCCTAAGGAGTAATTTGATGTATGCTCAAGGCATTGTGAGGACACTAGGAAGTCCGAAAGGTCATAGTCTTCTCAATTTACATAAGCATGATAACTTATGAAATATGATTTGGCCCTTGAAAAGCATTTGCAGACAATGAAATAAGATCATAGCAAGAGTATTTAGGGCCTTTTTGGTTTAGTTTTTTCAAAACAATTTTCAAGTATTCTGGAGAACTAAAAGAGACTGTTCTCTGAAATGAGTTCCCCCCTCCCTTTATTTATTAACTCTGTTTTTACGAATGGTCTAGAAAAAAAACTGTCACCACCCAACAAACTGTTTTATGTTTTTATTTTTATATTATTTGAAAACCGAAAAATTTATTCAAAACATTAAACCAAATAGACTCTTAATGTTCTACACTCTACAAACCACAGCTATGATATTCTTGATGTGTCGTAGGATATGCATTTTGTGGTATGGGAGCTTAAATCAGAACATAGCATGGATTTGCTTTGAACATGTTGAACACGAGGAATGAAATGTTGTGTTTATAGGCACAAGGTTTCAAATTTTATGTGAGACTTCATTCTTTTTTATGCTATAATTTATTAGATAGTGAGTGAACAAGTATACACATGTTCATTTATTTGTGTATGATTATGCGTGGGCATCTAATAGTTATTAGTTTATCCAATGGGTGGGGGTGCATGCTAAAGACTTTTGGAGGGCGACTCCCCTTTGTGTTTGGTGGAGTCTTTGGAAAGAGCGAAATAGAAGATCTTTTGATGGGAAGGTGGCCTCCATTGGGGCGCTGAAATTCTCTATTATTTGTACCCTTTTTTGTTGGGGCTGGGGGAGAAATTATTCTTCTCTTGTGGAAATTGTGGTTTTTTGGGGCTCTTTGAGTTCATAGGTCTTTTCCACTTTCTTTTTTCTGGTTTGTGTACAGCTCTTGGGGTGCGTTCCCCTTTTTGAACGCCTTCTAATACATTTTACTTATCACAAAAAAAAAAAAAAATAGTTTAGAATTTTTCTTCATCAAATATTCAAATTCATAATGATATTTTTTGGATGGTTATTAAAATTGTTATTAGCTTCCACTTAAAATTCCTCCCTGAGTACATATTTTTTTAGTACTTCTAGTTTTTAGTGTTTTTGGAGTTATATTTCTCTACATATTAGATTTTGTAAAATTGGCATGCCTTTATAACATGGTACGATGTATGAAGTTGATTTGTAGTTTTGAAATAAGAATTATGGATATGGACACAAAACAATACCTGCACCTTAACACTGCAAATCTTAAAAGGGTAGCATGCATAGTCATAAAATATATATTTTTGTATAAAAGTTATATTATATATTACGACTGAAACACAAAATTAATGTATAATTTTAGCTATCCCTTTTGTGCAGAGAAAGTCAAGGACTAGACATATATTGGTATGCTTGCATTTGTGTGTTTATGTGGAATTTTAAATGTGTGTGTGAGCTTGAATGTGCATGAGGGTCGTCGGGCAGGCGCGTGCTTGTGTGTGTGTGTGAGAGAGAGAGAGAGAGAGAGAGACTGTACTCAAACATGGTAGAGCCTTGGTTTGAGAGGTCTTGAGTTTAGGTCTCCACATTTGCATCTGTTCTCTCTCTTGCCCTCTATTTGTACAAGGTTCATGTGCGATTGATTGTTGCTCATTTTGGCTCAGGTTGTTGAAGCAGGTAAGTAGGTAACATTATCCTATGCGCCTATGTGGGGTGGTGAGTTGTGAAGATTGGAGATAGACCTAACGTTTGGTTTTATTGTACATGAAGTGGCTACTCTCATACTCAAATTCGTGACCTCACACTTTTCAATCCTTGCTTTTACCATTGCACCGAACAATGACCTTATTGGTAGTCTAATAATATACACATAGTTTGATGACTCTCCTACTCTCTCGTCCATTCCTTCAATAATATATATATTTTTAATATTTCGTTTTTTAATTAGCCGAACTTTATATATATGTATATATATATTTTTCATGCTAAAAGAAAGTATTATCCAATGGTGAAGATTCACTAGTCTCATATTACCATTTGTGCGAGAAAATGTTGGGTATTTGTCAGAAATGAAGAATTTTATTACAGCAAGATGAAATTAAGAATTGATAGTTATCAATCTTGTTCTGTATAAAGATATTACAGCAAGATGAAAGGAGGGTTCTTTTAATTTCATTATCATCAGATCTCTTTCTTTTTTCTTAATTATTTATTATTATTATTATTATTATTATTTTATATAAGTAATTATCATCAGATCTTTTAATTGTCGTTATGCTTACATCTTTTTTTTTTTTTTTTTCCAGAAGTTTTTATGCTTAATCTTCCCTTACAATTTTGTACTCATTATGCTCGAGTGTTACAGATGACCAACGACTTAGAGCATTGGAATTAAATTCCTGGCAGTTGATCAGACTACTACATGCACAATTACCTGATTTATCATGTGGAAGTTTTTCTTATGACGATTTTAGGGATTACCAAGGGTCTGGGATGAGTAACTGCGATGGTGCTGCCAAGGAGATGTTTTGTTGCTTATATTTAAATGCTGCTGCTCTTCACCAATCCTGGAAGTCCAAAAAAGTCTCCAGGTGGTTTAAATTTGACATTATCCATTATAATTTTTTTGAAACAGTTCAATTTAGAAAAATACTGAAGCCTTGCATTGCCTTCTTAAATTATGCAAATAGGTCTAATAGTAGAGATGACTATAGCAGCACTGTTTCTGCATATCATGATTTTCTAAGAACTGCAAGCGAGTGGTTATCACACAGAGCAACTGATGTATGTTATCCTCTTCTAATGGTTATCTGGTTGATCCTTTCGCATGAAAGATTGACAAGAAGGTGTTTTCATTTTCTGTTAGCGGACGACAACATATAATTTGTTTTTATCCTTAGTGTTTCGTTTCATTTTATTCCTTTTATTTACAGTATTTATCATACTGCAGAAACCTTTTGGCCTACTTGCTTCTGGAGTGGCAGCAATGCTCCTATCATGTTTGGTATTATCTTGCCTTCTTTTTGGTTTTGGCCAAGAAGTTCACATCAGGAAAAAGAGTCAACTTTCTAATGCAAAGAACAATATTCACAAGTGGAAGTTAGATGAGACTTTTATTTTTGCCATTGTCTTGATCCTTGTTTTAAGTATGGGATCTAGTTCTATGGTAGAGGAAGAACAATATATATGGTATTTTTTGACATCCTCATTTTATTTGGTATTACTGCGTAAAACAGTGCAGTCCTTCACACCAGAAACTATGCAACATTTACTCAATATGCAACATTTACTCAATACGATCAATGCGCAAGGGAGAAAGATCTATATTCAAATATTTTCTGTGATAGTCCTCCTCATTTCTGGAAGGATTTTGAGAGGCTGGCATCAAGGTGGTGTAAACTGGACTCATCTTCCTGACATTTCAAAGTGGCTTGAGCAGGCAGGAAATGATTATGTAAAATCGATCCAACTGGTATCAGGGCTCCTTGTGATCAGTTTAGGATTATATGCTCTATGTCTAATATCGTCAAAGAGAAGTTTTTCTGTGGTGGTTGGACTCATCTTTTTAATTCCAGGGTTGTTGGTTCTGCAACACATGTTAAAGTATCAGGATGGCGCATTTACAGCATCTGGTTCTAGTGCTACCTTAATGGCACAACTAATTTATGCAATTCTTGGTACCTTTTCAATTGGGACAGTTATTGCCTTACCATGGGTTATGCCTGTTCAGAATCCTAAAACCTGCTCAGTTCATGATTGCTACTTGTCAAGTAATGATACTGCTGACACTAAAAGCAAGTTTCTCCTTGTGGGATTTACACGTTCTGCATATGTGATTGGGTGGGTATACATATTCTGCTGGTGTCTTCTGCAGCTCTTGCTACAACAACCAATAAATTCAATGCCAGTGCTGTTGCTTCTCTTGCAAATGCTGGCAATTATTTGTTACTCTTCTAACAATTTCCTGCATTCAGAGCAGTGGGTTGAGGTCAGTCATCTCCATACCTTGATAACATGTGGTATTCATTGGGTATTGCTGGAAAATACTGATGTCAGTTTAATATCACGGTCAGGTTTAATGGTAAGAAATATATATGGTTGGAGTTGGTATAATGTTGAACATTAGGGATTTGTAGACTAGAGAAAAAGAAGACAAATTTGTTATGGTAAATTGTAGGGAGAGAGAAGAGTATAAATAACTTGATTGACCCACTAAAGCATGGGGCTTCCTTTTCTTGGAATTGTTGCCAATGCAGGTTCCCAATATGGACCCACTAAAGCTTAGGTTACTTTATGTTTAATTTGTTTTGTGCCAAATATCTCATTTGGTAGTGCAACTGCTACTTCAAGTGCTAATTGTGGCAACTTCTGTTTTGTTCTCTCAGGTTGCTGCGCTATATTATGTGGGAATGGCAGGCCATTTTGGTCTTGGTAACACCAACACTTTAGCTACCATTGATGTTGCTGGAGCCTACATTGTATTTTCTCCTCCCCTGCGATAGTTAATTGATACTTCTGTCATGCTTAAGCATTGCTATCTGCACTTTATTTAAATGTCATCCATGGTAATTTTTCAACATTGTTGACATTGCCAGGGCCTGTCAAGTCACTCAACAATACTTTCTGGCATCTTAATGTTTATTATCACCTATGCTTCCCCGATGTTAGCTCTTCTTAGCCTAGTGATGTACATCTCCATGAAGGGCACGAGCTCTCTTGTGAATCTCAGGAATGCAGCGAATGCTGATTTTGGACATTTTCTCAAGATGACTGTTTTCTCTCCTTGCCTGGTTCCACTGGGCTTGAATTCCATTCTTTTGGTTGCATACACCATTGTATTGCTGCTGATGAGGAATCATTTATTTGTTTGGAGTGTCTTTTCTCCAAAGTAAGTTTCCTTGAACTCAACTTTGTTTAGATTATGCATGTTTAGTGTACACATAGCAAGTGGCATCCTATGGCATGGGGAGGGGCAGCTGTACCATAGATGTTCCTGAAACCTTGAACTTTCCTGTTATGTTTACCTTCAGATCAGTAGCACTCTTTCATGGATGAATAAACTCCAGGGAAAAAATCCACCATAATAAGGCTCCGTTTGGTGAGGAAGAAAAAGATACTAGAAAGTGAAGTGAAAGAAAAGAAAACAACATTTCCTTTATGTACGTGGACACAATGAAAAAGTTTCAAGAAAATTGTAACAAAATTCTGGAAAACATAAAATTTACAAGAATATTTTTTTTACTTACCGAAATTGTCCTTATTCACAATAAGCAAAAAGTTCACATGGATTTGTTTCAAATGAACTAACTTTTACCCAATTTTTTGTACTACATTTTTAGAAATATAATATAAAACTCAATATTTTCTAACTCAATTTTATAGACACAATAAACAGTTCACACACTTAAACACATGCATATGGTTGATTTTGTTAGAAATAACATATATAGTTGGAAAGTTTCACAAATTATTTATTACTTAGACTTCATATCATGTCAGAGCTCTACTTGCTATATATGATAAAAAAAATGTGCAACCAATCATATTGATACCAAAGAAGTTGGGAATCTATAACAAGTATGTAATTTTTCTAAACCAAAAGGTGTAGTGGAGGAGAGAAATATTGGGGATAATAGGAAACTAAAATATTAAGGACCAGTGGACCACTTTCATGGGAAAAGATTATTTCTTGTGTTTTATGCAGTAAACGTTTTTGAGAAAGTTAGCCAGTTGTGGGAATCCTAGTTTCCCGGAAGTCTTTTTCATTCTACCCAAACTCCTAAAAAAATTGGAATATATCATTTCCTTTACTTTCCCTTATTTGCATCTAATAAACCAAAGCGTAAAACTCTTCTGTTTGGATTTGATGATATTTCAGTTATATCGATTTTAGTCCTTGGAAACTGTCTTTTTCTTGACAATCAGATTGAATTTGATGGAGGATAAGCAGAAGGCTTGAAGAGGGAGTGCCCCCATTTCTTTCTTGCGTTGTAAGGGGTGAGCAAGGGGAGAACATATCATAAACACAAACATGGAATGTCTGTCCTTAAAGAATAATGGGCTAAAATTATAGTAATTCTTTGGAAGATTGGAGTTCCATATCTTTATTTTCTCAAACAGTGACCTCAACTTACTAATGAATTGCCATTTGGTTTTCTTAGAGCTACTCTGACTTAAATGTGCACCCTATTTAAACTTTGAATGATTAGTTTGGCATCTCCTTCAATATCCTTTATGTATAATCCCTGGTTTTAGCTAGAAGGTAACCATTCCAAAGCCCCGAGGATTTGATGATTACAACTGAAGGATTATTGTTCTCACTCAACCAGAGTGGATGATAATAGGCTTTTCTAAGCTCTCCATGTTGGCTCCTTCCCTTCCAGAGTTGATTTTGACTGACCAATTTTTCAACAGCGTTAAATGAACTTGCTAAACTAGAGCTTGATCCAGTTTCTTTCAGATTCGAGCTACGGGGGTGGAAATAGTCTAAATTCAGTCTTGTTTCTTTTTGTGCAGCAGAGAATAGAACAAGCATTTTGAAAATCACTATATAGCTTTTTAGATGCATATTTTTTTATTTTATTGAATTTCTCATTTCGTATTAAAATGAGCAGCATGCTTTCTTCCCCAGGTTCCTGTATGTTTGTGCTACAACTGCTTGCGTGTATTTTGGGGTATGTGTTGTGGCTTCAACCGGAATTTATACTTGCTTGGTGTTTGCATTGCGGAGAAAGCTTCAGGGCTCCAATAGAGATAATTTGAGGGAGTGCACAGTGTGCCAATAAACATAACTTCAATTGTCAGAAACAAATTTATGCCAGCTACTCTTTCCTCAGGCTTTTGGTTGGGTTCTCAAGCAAGTTTTGTAGGAAGTGATATAAAAATATATTACAAAGGAGAAGGTAAGCAGCTTTTCACAGTTATTTGGCTTTGTTTTTTATTCATTTATATTTTTGAACAGGAAATAATACATTGAGTTGATTAGATTACATTTTTTTCTCGTTACCACAAAGAAGAAAAAAGAGAGAGGGTTTGAATCACTCTCTCCCCTTTTGTTCGTTGAATAGATTTGTTTATTTATTGGTCCCTTGGCATGGTATTATTGGTGGTTGAATTTTTTGCTTTCATTTTAGATTAAAGATACAGATTTGTTTCTTCATGGCAAATATTTTATATTTGGAGAACTATATGATGGCACCTACATTTACATATTAGACTTGCTAGACTTTTCTAATTGTCATTTTTTTTTTTGGTTAGGTAGTGTTTCTGTTATTGGTCACAAAGTGCAATTTTCAACATTTCTTCTCAACTATGGCTTTGCTTGGCTTTATGTATCAGTGAAGGGCAAACTTTCTGAAATGGTTAACTTCTCATTCTACATGGCATGGTGTGGTTCCAGTTCAGATGTACAATCTCGGGCATAGTGGTATGTAACCTATGATTTTGTCTGTACCATGTTTCACAGTGTACCATGTTTCACAGTGATTTATGCACGCGCGTATGTGTGCATGTGTGTGTGTGTGTTTTTTTTTTTTTGGGGTTAGATTTAGAGTCTCATTTGGTGAAGCAATGTAATGTGTGGTTGAGAATACAATGACATTACTTGTAGTCAATGCTGAAGAGGATACTGCGACTAGAAGTAACTTTTGCATTTAGGCTCCGTTTGTTTGGATGTAAAATATTTTTTAAAAAATATAAATATTTTTATTTTCTGGTGTTTGGTTGTTGTAAAATATTTATGAAGAAAAAAAATATTACAATCTAACAAAAATAGCTTATTCATCAATTTTACAAGCTTGTCCAATGGCTCGACCTCAATCTCGACCTACACTTTTGTCGAACACAGAAAAAGCAAAAAAAAAGAAAATATTTTGCCTAAAAAAGAAAAATCTTTTTCAAAGAATATTTTACGTTGAAAATATTTTACGAGTGATGCCTTACTTGCGATGTGTTTATGTTTAGGTGCTGGTTGTTTTGATATCAGTTAAACTTACCTTGGAATGATTTTCAGAAAGTTCACATTTGTTTCAGGAAATTTTGGGAATTAATTTTATCCCTCTATATTTGTATGCTTTGAAATAATTGCATAAAGAAATCATTATGGTACATGTTAAACTCCAGAATCCAGATGCCAGAATACCTTATTATTAAGGGTTTCATTCATGTTAACCTTAATGAAATTTATAAAGAAATAAATTAATAAAAATAGTCTCTATACTTCTTACCGTGAGAGGCAGTTCTAGTTTTGTCATACTATACTATAGTGTTCATATTTGAAAACAATAGTCTTCATGTAAAATGATTTGAAAATTTCAACCATTTGAATTGAAAAGTGTTTTAAAATGTTTTTATCATGTTCAATTGTAAAACCAGAAGCTTGTATAACTGAAGTCAAATAGTGAAGAGACTATTTATAAAACTAAAAAAGAAAAAGAAAAAGAAAAAACTTGGTGGAACTAATTTGCAGAATTTTATTTCAATAAGAAATAATAATAATAATAATGTGTAGCTTTTTCAATAACATTCTTGTTTTATCAGTTTTTTTTTTGTTATTTTCTTTTATTTTTGCCTTTTTACCTCTTTTGTTTCTCTCATATTCTTTTTCAGTTGGTGCTAACTACCGGACAAAGTATTTAAATTCAAACCTTTTGACATTTTAAAACGCAGTAACGTATTTTACGTGTGTTATTTGGTGGGCAAAGACGTTTCCAGCCTGGAACCAATAAAGCAGTGAAGCAAGAGCTTAATCGTCAATATATTCTCACATAAAATATCAAAATTTGACTTTCTTGTCACACATCCTTGTACACGTACTTTTCATGGGCACCTCTGGTGATTTTTTTTTTTAAAATTATTTTTATTAATTTATTATTATTATTTTTGTCTCGAGTGTTCTTTTAAGATACGTGGAGTGCAATACTCTCGTTACATGAGCTTGATGCAAGATCACTTGTTAATTCTCACCCCTCTAAAAGCAAAAATCAATATTAGAAACCATATCTAGTTTGTTTTGTACTAATTAAGAGCGTTAGTAAAGTTAACTGAATATAATAGAACTAACTTTTGGTGTTATTAGTTATAAAGCGACAATTCATTCTTGAAATTATCATATAACTAGAATGAGGAATTGCCTATGGAAGCTGTGATTGTTTAATTTCGAGGATTTATTGGTTCAATATTTATTTCTTTATTTATTTTTTGGGCGGATTTCTTAGAGCAATGGTTTAGATGTTAAAGTCTTAATAATTGTAATAAATGTTTCTTTTGGGAATTGTGACTCGTACTGTGAAAAGAAATCTACTTCTTCTATCTGAAAAATATAATATCTTTTGAGGAATCGTGACTTATTTCGTAATAAGTTCGTAAAGTTTAAAGATACTCATTTTTAAGAAATTATTATTAATACTTGATGGACTAATTAAATATAAATGATCCGATTGAAAAAATGACCATGTATATTAATATATTTCAAATTGTCGTGATCCGAAAATTTCTAACTTTTCATTAAATTAATCTATTAGATGTCAAATGAACCCTCTAATAATTTTTCCTCATTTTCGGCGTAATATGAAAACTCTGCCCATCTGCCATGTACGAGTTGCTTTCTACTTTGAACTTGGGATCAAAAGGTTTGGTTGGTCAAACCCTAAAACTGGCACATCAGAGGATTTGAGACAAGTTTTGTCACGCATGTCTGGGCTACTTAATTTGTGCACAATTTTTGGTCAAGGAAAAGGAAAATTGAGAAAGAGAGCATTTTTCAACTTGGATAGTATATGATTTCTCTCCTCTCCATCTGGATTAATGATCAAAGTTTGATCAACTTTTGCATACATACTTATTATCAAATCAAAAAGTTTCCTCCGTTTAAAATCCAAATAGAAATTACACCGAAAAGAGAAGTGAAAAAGGGAAGAAGCACTCAATAATGTGTTGGATAAAGAGGAAGTGTAAATGATTCCTTTTGTCAACCACACAAGTGACCACCGTCCAGCTGTATTTGATTGAAATTGTGATTTCAATCTCATTATAATTGACATCAATTACTAGTACTATTTTGTTTGGATATGGACACCTCAAATTAGGAATTTTAAAATCATAAAATTTTCATATAAAACTTCAATTTTTAAAATTTTTTACAAATGTTATCGCATTGTCCCAATTTTATTGTTACTTTTGGTGTGCATGAATAGAATCAAATGCAAATAGGAATGAAATGAGAATGGGAATGGAATAGAATGATCATTTTCATTCTATTGTCTGGTTGTAAAAAAGAAATGTGTAAGAATGGAATGATAATAATCATTCTAGTGTTTGGCTAGACCAATTTAAAATTTAAAATAGAATAAATTTCAAATTAGGTTATCCAAAATATTCGTCTTAGTAACAAATAAATTAAATTAACAAAATGACATTTTTCTATAATTTTTAAAAATAAATGGTGGCAGTGGCAGTGGTGGATGGTGGTGACAATGGTGGTGGAGGTGGAAAGCGATAGTGGTGTAGGTGATCGTGTTGGAAGGTGTTGGTGGTGGCAATGGTGGAAGGCGGTAACAGCGGTATTGTTGGAAGGTGGCAGTGGTGCTAGTGGAAGGCGGTGGTAGTAGTGTGGTGATGGTGGAAGGTGGTGGTAGTGGTGGAAGGCGATAGCGGTGGTAGTGGTGAAAAGTGATGGTGGTGGCACTAATGGAGTGATGGTGGTGGCACTAATGGTGGTGGTGGTGGTAGAAGGCAGTGACGGTGGCGGCAACGGCAATGGTGAAAGGTGGTGGCAGTGGTGGAAGGCAGTGGTGCTGGTGGTGGTGAAAAGCGACAGTGGCAGCGGCGGTAGCGATGGCGGTGGTTGCGGCAAAGGAAGGCGGTGTTGGTGGTGAAAGGAGGTGGCAGTGGTGGAAGGTGGTGACGGTTGCAGCAAAGGAAGGTGGTGTCGGTGGTGAAAGGAGGTGGCAGTGGTGGTGGTGGAAAGCGTTGGGTGATGGTGAAAGTCGGTGGTGGAAGGCAGTGGTAGTGGTGGAAGTCGGTGGTAATGGTGATAAAAGGCGGAGGTGATTGTGGTAGAAGGTAGTTGTGATTTTTGGACTTAGAACATGAGGGTTTTTTGAGAAGTAAAAAAAATTTATTTCGGAATAGAATGACCATTCCATAGGTTTAGTTGTGGAATGAATTTTTATTCCAATAGAATAACCATTTGCACTTTAAATTGTATACCAAATAAAAAAATGATTGAAATAAGTATTCTATTCAATTTCATTCCTGCATACCAAACATAGCATTAATGAACATAGCATTAATGAATAGTTAAAAACTTACTAAATGACTAAAAACAAAGATTCATCAATTTTCGGTCTTTCCATGCCTAACTTCTTCCGCCCTCTACTTTTACCAATAATTTTAGTTTCTTCTCTCACATGTATGTCTCTCACCCTCTGTTAACTAATGAATGGTCAATTTTTGCTAGTTTTCAAAATTTCAAATATAAGATAGAAAAAGTTGGAGTTTCCAAAATGGATGTTCATTTCGCGGCACAGAATGTACTTTGAAAGATTGAAAAAAAAAAATTAAAAAAAATAGTAGTTCGAAATTTTTTTCATTTGGTCGAAAATTGATTTTACCAGTATTATAATCAAGGTTAATTTGATTTTCATAAAATGAGATTTTAAATCTTTGAATAATGATAGAAATAGTGGGATCAATCTGACTAATTTTAAGTGAGTAGATACTAATGTGTTTATATTTCATTTTTTCAATTAAAAACCAAATCTTTAGATTAGACGAGTACAGGAGTAGTGTTGGAGTCAAGGAGGAGTGTGAGGTCAAAAATGAGTGCGAGTGTTGCAGGTGTGGAAGAGCAAAGCAGACCAGGCTGCTTTTCTTGGGAGCCCAAAAGACTGGTGGGTTGGCAATGCCCGTAATCATCTGCGCCGGAAAATGATTGCCCAAAACATATACTTGCCACTATTATTCTACTCAATAGTCTTTTTCTCTTATCTCTCTCTTTTTTTTTTCGGTTTTATCTTTAGTGTCATTCCTTTTCCCTTGTGCCAATTTTATCAGAATAATAATATATGATGATGATGATGTTTGTCGTTTTAATCTAAGAAAGTATATTCTTTCCTGTGCAGACTAGCAGGTTGTTTGGTGCGTCTGTAACCGTGAGAGCACACCCAAACGGCACCATTTTGGTGCTTTGGATGGTGCACTGATCCCCTCTAGGGTCCATTTTCCTAATTTGAAGGTTTGATTTGGATGCTTTTTAAGATTTTATTTATTATTATTATTATTGTTATTATTATTATTTGTGTTTGTGATTATCACTATCTTTAATTATGAGCCCTTTCTTTTCGACCATCATATGTTTATTAGTTTTTCTCTCTTTATTAATTTATTGAATAAATTTTTAGCATTAATTAATTAGATTTGTTTTGAAGGAAAGAATTTTGACAATCTAATGTTTAACTTCTAAATAATGCAAAAAATGAGCAGCTGAGAGGGAGGCCTTGTAATAAAAATAGGAAAAAAGAAAAGAAAAAAGAGAGAGAATTTGGAGAGGGGAAAAGTACAATGGGTGAGGTATGGAGTTGCACCATGCACCTACCAATGTATGACCCATTGAGCATCCTTTAAAGACACAGTTTCATGTGTCCCGTGATTTCTTTTGCTGTTTTTGGTGTCTTTCAACTCAAATAAATTTATGTTATATTTGATGGTATCGAATCAACACTTCAGATTTGAGATTGAAAAAAATTCATACAAAAATTTAGCTAAACTTTCTTCAATCCTAAATTCAAGTCACCGATTTCGCGCACTCGCTTCAACTGCATAGAATTGAAATTGGTGAAATTAAAAAAAGGTAATTCAGAAATTAAAATTAATTTTTTTTTTAATTCCATCAATTTCCATTATAATGCTTCAATTACATGCAGCCGAACACACTAAAATAATTTAATTACAAGCTTTTCATTGTTATGGAGAGGTTGGATGTTTAGTACTTCTACGATTTTTGTCACTTGAAAAATAATTATCAAGATTTCAATAAATCAAAAACAATTTTAAAAAAATTGAATAAAGCAAGCTCTTTAACTTTTCTTGAAACCAATTTTTTTTTATTTTTTTGCTTTGCATGATGCGTGTGAATGGAAAGGGTACGTGTGTTATTTTTCTTTCTATATTTATCCATTACAAGAAAAAATAAGTCTTCAAAGTACCATAATTTGAAGCTAAGACTAATGCTTGTCCACGAGTATTCCATGCACATTAATGAGTATTATTTATATATTAAAAATCAATTTTTTTTAAAGTTATAATAACAAAAATATATTACTATTATAAACAAAATGAGTACATGAATTACGAAAAACTGTTCACATTTAGATTTTAAATTAATCCATCTTTTTTGAACGATTACCAACAATGCAATCCAAAACCATTTATAATTCAAAATTCGATTTTTGTAAAATTCATAGATTTTGACTAAAATCAAATGATAGAATATTCACTCGACAGTGACAAAACCATGATGATCGCTGTCTCTCCCTACTAAACAAATAGATCAAAAGTAAGGGTAAAAGTGAAAAATATATGCCATAAAGTCCCTTTAATTTCTCACTCACTGCTAGAGAGCTTACAAAAGTAGGAGTCGTCCGAGTACATACTTCTCAGTTCTCACTTGTTCATATTTGGATGTCATACACAGACTTTAAACAAGCTTTGCACCTCTCTCTCTCTCTCTCTCTCTCTATATATATATATATATTTATATATCCTTCTGAATTAATTCCAGGATCTCGGAGTTAATTTGTTGGGCATTTCTGACTCAGGTTCAATATCATGTCTTTAAATCTCCATCTTTATTTTGTTAATTTGATGTCTCTCAATTACATATCCTCATGACTTGAATAATACAATTATGTATATGTGTGTGTTTGTTTGTGTGCTTTTGTGTGTGTAACCCATATATCACGCATGCATCTTATTAAAAAACTCCACCTTTAATGTCAATTTCCCTTTTTCACCATTTTTTACTCTACCCTCTATCTTCTTCTTTGCTCTATGCTTTTACTGCATTAATCTGGTAGCATATTAGTTCTCTCAGCTAGCCCATCTCTCTAGCTCTTTCTAAATTAATCTATACATACATATATACATACATACATATATATATATATATATATATATATATCTTTTAATAGTGTACTTTGTTTGGTAATTTCAGACTAAAAATTAAGAACAAATGTATTCGATTCCAAGTTACTGTGAATTTGGGAACCGTTCGACTTCTGTTAACTTTCTTCAAGGAGTACTAAGCTCAATGGATACAACTAATGTCAGTAATTCAATGACGAGCTCGAAACCAACTGCAGAAGCAAAAGCCATCGCGGCGTGTAAGAGCCACAGTGAGGCCGAGAGGAGGAGAAGAAAGCGAATCAATGGTCACCTGGCCACTCTTCGAACTCTCCTCCCTAGCACAATCAAAGTAAAGTACAATATTAAACACATGCAATATTTTCATTTTACACTTTGTGGGTGATATTAGTTAGAATATCAATTGTCTAATTAATAAAGTTAAAGCCTGATCAAAATCCCCTCCAATCACCTTTTTTCGTATTTCTATCCGGTGGGTGAAGTTCACTCTATAGGATATGATGAATTTCGTTACTATAATGATGTGACTTTCACACTTCATCCACTTTATGAAACCAGGAGAAAACAATCCCTAGTTCAGATGATATGTTCTCTCCCTAGTTTCTCAAAGAGAATTAATGATTTGATAAGATTTTTGCTAATATTTAGGCAATTAACTTGAACAGTCAAGGAATGGGATTACAATTATATACATTTATACATACATAAATACATACATACATACATACATACATATATATCAAACTCTTAACAATATTAATGTGGTTTCATGAATGGCAGACGGACAAGGCTTCGTTGTTAGCGGAGGTGGTCCGGCGTGTGAGGGAGCTGAAGAAGGCGACGGCGGAATTGGCAGAGAAAGATAGTGTTCAATTCAGTCATAGCAGTAGTAGCAATGAGTTTTCGTTTCCAAGTGAGACAGATGAACTGAAGTTATGTTACTGTGAAGGAGAATATTCGGACACTATAAAGGCGACAGTGTGCTGCGATGACCGGCCGGAGCTGATATCGGACGTGAGGAGGGCGGTGAGGTCGGTGGAAGGGAAGGTGGTGAAGGCGGAGATGGCGACGGTGGGAGGGAGGATGAAGAGTGTGTTATGGATAAAAGTGTCATCAGCAGCTGTTAGTAGTAGTAGCAGCAGTGGAGAGGAAGGGTTAGGGTTACTAAGAAGAGCACTGAAGGTGGTTATGGACAGGGCTGGTTTGTCTCCTGAGTCAGGCCAGGGTTTGCCGGGGAATAAAAGGCCTCGTCTCTCTCATTACTGACTTTTTTAGGGTTTGGTGTTTTGGATTGATGTTGTGAGACACACACATACACACACTGAATGTTTGGGGTCTCACTGCTTCTACTGATTTTTGGGGTTTGGGGTTTGGATTGATGTGTTGAGACACAATTACTGAAGGTTGGGGACCATTTGGGCTCATGGAATTTTCTTGAGATTGGGACTTGGAAGGAGTACCTTTTTAGAATGAAAAGATCAATAGTGTTTGGAGCTGATCATGAAATAGGTGGAAGGAATTGCAAGCTAAGGTCAAGATGTAGTAGGTTTTAGTGTCTTGTTAGTCATTTTTAACTTTGTTTTATACTCGGTAACATGTAATTTGGAAGGCTAGTGATTTTGTTTTTTTTTTTAGGGTGAGAGCAACATATGAATTGGTCAGTGTGGCCTGTCCCATTATGGCTATATATATAGTGACACTTGTATGACATCTGAAGGGATGTCAGGGATTCTGTTTGTTATGTATTCTTAATAGGGGTGACTGGGTGAGCTAGTTTGGTTTCTTTATGATGTTCTTTTCACCCTAAACAAAAGAGAGAGTGATAATTCAAGGTATAAAAGGTTGGTTGGAGGCTTTTATTTTATTTTATTTTATTTATTTATTTATTTTTTTTTTTATCAAATTGTGGCATCTAACATATCAGCATTTATGGCTTTTAATTTTCTACACCTCAAACAGGAGAAGACTGATTAGATTTTGATCCTCTCTAATAAAGTTGTTTCTGCATACTCTGTGGTGCAAACTTTTGCTATATTTATTTTAAAATTTCAGTCAGTATAATAGTGAAATTCAAAATATCAAACGATATATTTTGATAAGGAGTGATATGGACGTGTTTTGCATCTTGAAATATTATATAATATGAAGTGCACCTAGAGAGAATTTTAATCCTAGACATGGTAGGTGTCTTCATGTGGAAACATCACTCCCCATTAATCCGGCTCAATGAATTCTTTCCCTTTTTACCCTCCATTTTGTTCTTTTGAATTTGCACAAAATTTATTAACTGTTAGAGCCATTTTCGAAGGAATGCCCATTTGATATGTTTATTATATATATATATATATATTTAAAAGAAAGTTACTGAAGTAGAAATTTCTGCCAAGGAGATGATAAGAATTATTTTATTTTATTTATTTATTTATTTATTTTTTCTCTCTCTTTTATGCTCTAAAGAGAGCCATTTTCTGAAAATGTATGTTCAATAAGCAAAGAAAATGATTCACGAAGCGAGCCAAACTATTTTGATTCAGACCTAAAAATGTGAATTCAAAGAAGACTTCTTGTACCCATAAATTAAATCTAAATTAAAGCAAAATTTCATGTTTTGGTTTTTGCCCAATTTCAGGGGGGTTCATAATATGATTTAACCATTAAATGTGAAGATCTACCTTTTACGCTATGAATCCACTATAATTTCATGGTTTTATTCCCTGTTAAATATTTACTCATCAATGCTGTAATTAAGATCCGATAAAAAATATTAATATCTTATGCGCAAATTTGGTTTTGCAAATGACAATCGTCTACCGACTACTAAAATCTAGATGCCACCTTTCAAAAAGTAAAATCTAGATGGTAGTACAGAAATTTTGACTAATCACATGTGAAAAATATGTATACAAGTATCTAAAAATGAGAAAGAAAAAAAAAAGAAAAAGAAAAGAATTCTAGAATAATTTTAAGATGGAAGTGTGCTATAAATATAGTAGATTGTGCATGAAACCAAACTAGCTATCTAAGTGTTCTAACATCAGTTCTTAAATTTTAACCATTATAAACCATAATAATCCTTAAACTACTGGACCATAATAATACCTTAAACTCCCACACATATTGGACCAATAGATTGATTCTTTTCAGAAAACAGAATAAAATCAATTTCTGAGTCCAATTGGTGAAAAAATTCTTACGATAATATACATTACACATATAGAATAACTTAAAATTCTTGTTTTTTATGTCAAAAATATCATTTATCAATCTCTATCATTGATCCTTTTGTATTGGTTTATTCTATGACATTTCAATGTTTCTCAATCTGTTTTTTCAAACGATAATCAAATTGTACGCCTCCGTCATCAAAGTCCTTATTTTTTTACTATTCAGATTTGAACAATTTTAAGTTCACCAACGTTTGAGAATATCATGAAAATTTTATCAATCATAATCAAAGTCCTGTACTGGACCACCTGCATATTAACATTTTGGTCTCGAACAGTCCGTTATCAATTCGATTGCCGTGTCTAAATAAATTCACCAATTCAATTGGACCAGTCTTAGATTGGGCCACTCACAAGGATACATGACCCAAAATACCAAACCATCAAGCCATATGTTCTGATTTGGGCCAGCCTGGCCCAAGCTTCACATCTATATTTTAGTGAATCAACATAGAACCGCCTCCCAGTAAACTTATATCATTTGACGAGGCTTCATCGGTTTTTAGGCAACTCCAACAAAAAGAATCTGTTTCTTTGTACCATGGTCACATTTAGGCTTGATGTAAAATATTTTTTGATTTTTCTTTTATATGTAAAATAGTTTTTTACTTTTATATTTTTGGTGTTTGGCAAATGTTTAGGTTGAAATTGAAGTCGAGTTCATCGGGTGATATGTAAAATAAATTGCTAAAAATTAATGAATAAATTATTACTGTTAGATTTTAATATATATATTTTTTCATAAATATTTTATTACAACCAAACATCAAAAACTAAAAAATTATTTTTCAGTTTTAAATCCAAACAAATGGAACCTCAAGTAAGTGTACAAGTTGCATTACTTTCATTTTGTGGGGCCAAAATTTAACGAGTACCAACACTTCTACAAATGTATTGTACGTGCAAAATTTAAGAATTATTATTATTATTTTAGGCCTCGCACATTCTCAATACTTGACTAATAAAAAATTGACATTAGACATATGTCCTATGAAAGACAATATAAGATAGTAATCTTTTATATAATAATATATACTTTTTTTAATATTCCAATAAGTTCATCTTCTAACTTATATAACTTTAATATAAAAATTATAAATTAATTAAAATTATAAAATTTATATTTATATTAGTTGTGCTCCTCAAGCCATATCTATCCTATTTTTTAGAATTTGACTGTATGATGTATCCATTTTGTATTATGTCTGTATCTTTTTAAATTTCTTTTTAACTTGGGTGTTCCTCCATTAATGTGGATAGGAAATTCTGGTAGACAACTAGTTTAGTTTCATAGAAAAAGATGAATATTTGGTGTTCCCATTTATATAGAATTAAGGCAAAGATGGTAATGGTAATAGTGATTTGACGATACTGTGACCAACCAATAGTTTGGTTCCATGGAAAAAAGAAAAATATCTAAAAGATTGGCTAAAGAAAATAGTATCAACCCCAAGCCACATATAACTAAGAACCGACCAAGATGTATCTTAGTGATTTCTATTGTGCAACCTAATACATCTTACATCAAAATTCTAATTTATCCTTAGCAAGCAATTGTGTCATTACTCATTACCTCTAGTTTCTTCTTTCCTTATAGAGTTTGATGAATTAATATAGCTAGTTTTTTTTTGTAAGTTATATAAATTTGCATGCAAGACATAGTTGAGAAGGTGAACTAACCAGTTGTTTTCAAACTTCACCCAACTACATCTCATCAAACTCATAAAACCATTCAACAATAGTTATCTATAAAAAGCCATTAGGAGCCTGCTATTCTGCAACTCAATACACACAGATTGCTCTATACTCGAGAAAAAAAGGAAGATCTTTTTTGCTCCTGTTGAACAATGGTGGCTTCTAATCCATGTGTGGTTCTATGTTTAACCATAGTGTTATCACTTTCAAGCCTCCGTATAAGCTCCGCGGCACGCCATCTTTTGCAAACCTCTGCTCCACTGCCTGCACCAACACTGCCTACAATCCCTTCTATTCCTAAAGTCACATTGCCTCCATTGCCTGCAATGCCAACCATCCCCAAAGCGACGCTGCCACCATTACCAAACAACCCTTTACCTACACTGCCCACATTGCCGCCACTGCCAAGCACTCAATTCCCAACTTTGCCAACCATTCCCACACTTCCTAAGGCCACGCTACCTCCATTGCCAGCCACTTCACTCCCCACAATCCCCTCAATTCCAACCATTCCAACCACTATGCCAACAATTCCATTCCTCTCACCACCTCCATCAACCACCAGTCCTTGAGATGTCATCATTCCATTGACATCTTAATCCTATATTATTTCTTCAAATCAGTTGTTATATGGCATACTACCACTACTTGAAGTGCCTTGTTGATTTGGTTGTACTTGTACTTAGACAGATTTCATGTATTGTACACTCTTTATTTTTTTCTCCAATTGGAGGGTTAGTTATTGTTGTTGCTTGTTCCTATGAATAATATGCTTTCTTGTTCATTTTTGTTCATGTTCTGCCCCATAGTAGCTAATATGTTGATTTGATGATACACACCGCAATTTCCTCACATTGAGAGAGAGAATTGTTCACAAGAAACTTCCAAGAGAAAATTCATCTTTGCTAGTCTATTATAGCATAGTATACAACATACTAATCTAAATCAGATTGCAATAGTTATTTGATAAAAAAAAAAAAAAATTCAGATTACTTCAAAAGATTTACGGATTTCCAATCCAATGTAAATATATCCATGTATTTTTCTCCCTGTCAAGAATTTCTGAAGAATAACAAAAATAATTCAATAACTGATTGAAATTATTTATCAAATTAAATTTGTATAAGACTGGATATTACCATCATCTCTAAGAAACTAACAGAATGGCTTCACAGAGTCATATATACTAAAAAAAAGATTGACTAGGCTAATTAGATTATGTCAACCACATATATGTGAAAAAACATGGGGTTCCTATTCTGACTAATTAGGGTTTGTAGTAAGTATTTAATGAGTTTCAAGCTTCACCAAGTTGCATAAAGTTCCATGTAAACAAATTCTGCACCCAAAAAAAAAAATTATCACATGATTTGCAGAATTTTTTAATCCCACCACAAAGCATAGGGTTGCGAAATTCCATGCTTCCATCTCACATAGAACTTGAGTAGAGAGCTCTAATCAAAAGGAATTTACTTAGACATATACTGAAGCATTGCTAGAAAGTGGGTCCCACAAAATATTTCTTGGTCTAAATTTTGTTCAATTCTCCCTTATGACATTCAAGAGTCATAATCAGTGTTTCTTGGGTGATCTATATTTTTTAGTTTCTAATATTGTATCAAGTTGGGGAGATGACCTAACCAGTGTTTCTCCACATTTCCCCTAACAACATCTCATCAAACTTATATTGATCCTTTCAATCATCAAAAATACTAAAGACGTACATGTGTTCTCTATAAATTCCCATTACTTCTTACCCTTCATCAACATCAAACACTATAGCGTTTAAGGTAACACAACTCCTTAGACCGTCTGAAGACAACAAACAATGGGTTTTTCTAATCACTGTTTTGTTTTAACCATGATTGTACTGGTTTCACTTTCAAATATCAATATGAGCTTGCCAACACGCCGTCTTTTGGAGACTGAACCATCGGCTCCGTGCGCCACCATCGCTACCACTGCCTACAATTCCAACTATGTCTAAAGCCACACTGCCTCCATTACCAACAATATTGCCATCACTATTCCTAATTCCAGATTGTACCACTACCGCTACCACTACCAAATGAAGTTTACATTGCAATGGCAATATATATGTACATAGAACATACAATGGCAATAGATATACATAGAACATAAAATGGCGATAGTTTAAGTTAATGAAAAGTAATTAATTATTCCAAAAACAATTTAAAAAATAAAAGCTTATTAAAAGATTTGCGAGAATTCTCCAATTGTAGCAGTGCCTAATGAATCAAAATATATAAATCTCCTGTACAAATACTTAATTGGGAAAATGGGTGAATGTACGAATGTCAAAACCATGTTTTATAGTGGCATATCAAACTACTGTGTATAATAAGCATGGAATTGTATTTGAATTTACCTGAATGTCCAAGTCCCTTTACTCATCTACTGTATATTTAAATGGACAATTTAATTATTTTGAAAAGAGAATAATGCATAGCCCCATTTGAAATGTCAAAGCAAAATAAATACTATATTTTCATAATTACTTTTTTTTTTTTTTAAAACCATAATTATTTATTTAATATGGACAAGTTGGTTATTTTTAGAAGGAGACAATGAATTAATTAGTTGTCCCATTTGAAAAGTAAAATATCAATAAATAAATACTATATTTTCATAATTACCCACTTAATATGGACAATTTGGTTATTTTCAAAAGGAAAAATGCATTAATTAGTTATTCCATTTAAAAAGTCAAAGCAAAGAAACTGTGAATACTAATTTTTTTCATAATTACTCACTTATAGACAACTTGGTTATTTTTAAAAAGAAATAATGCATTAATTAGTTGCCCAATTTGAAAAATAAAGAAAATAAATAAATAAATACTATCTTTCCACAATTACCCACTTAGTATGAACAACTTGATTATTTTTAAAAAGAAATATGCATTAATTAATTGTCCCATTTGAAAAGTCGGAGCAAAATAAAAATCATTTTTCCATAACTATCTATTTAGTAATATATATATTTTTAATTATTTTAAAAAATAAAATACATTAATTGAATGTCTCTTAAAATATTAAGATAACAAATGGGACAATTAATATATAGGATGGATCCATCAGTCACTTACTTTGGTTCCTTGTTTTATTCAAAACTGTTGGCGCCCTTCTTCTCCGAAGAAGAATGTTTAATCACTTGTGCCGAATACTGTTCATCCGGGTCTTCTTCGATTGCCGGTTCATTTAAGTCAAGTGGCTCTCTTTTTTACGGGCACATTCTGCTCCTGCAACACCACTTCCTTTACTGCAACAACAGCGCCTTGATTCATCAGCGATTCCACGTTTGTAATACAAGCATTGTTGACTCGTTGTTTTTGTTTTTTTTAAAAAAAGGGGTCGGGGTTGTAGCAAACGGGTTGGTGGTGTCGAATGAAAAAATGGTCTAGCAAACGGGTTACTTGTGTTAAATGGGTTGGTCCCATGTCAATTTGGATTTATGACTTCAAATTTCATAAAATAATATAGATTTAAAGAATTTCGAAAAGAAGTTATAGAATTAGGTTGATCAAACTGGTATGAGTCGTATGATTAATCCGTTTCAACTAGGTTCGCCTGTAATTATAAATTTCTAACCTATTTTTATTGCTCATTTTTATTCATCTAAGCTCAACAAAAAATATGATATTGGTGTAATAAACCTAAACCTTTTTTTTAAATTTTTTTTTTATTTTTAAGTTATGAATAAAGATAGAGTCTCTCTTCTTTAAGTTATTTAAATTAAACCCGTGGAAGGAAATAAATCCCCCATCAAATGAAGTCATGCCACATATGACTACCAAGATTACTCGTCATAATACATTTGTAGGCAGTAATGGATCTACATTGAATAATATACCCATGAAATATTACATTTGTACCTCCTAAAATTGCTAAAAAAAATGCAATATTACTCCCCAAAATTCATTTTTGCCCCCTCTTACCTTACCTCCTGGCTCCATCCCTGCGTGCAAGTCGGCCCTCGGTTGCAATCACCTAAGGTCTCAAATTTAAATTGTTATGATTTAAAGTCCGTTTAGAATTGCTATTAGAATGATGAAAGCGCTTTTAGTATTAGAGCTATCATAAAATTACTGTTAATAAAACACAGTTATGCGTTTGGTGACACATCATATAAATCACTTTTTATACTTGAATCACTTTTAAATTTGTTTGGTAATAATGTTGCTTAAAACACTTTTATTACTAATTTTATTATATTACCCACACACTAATAAATATTATAAAATTTCATTGAGTTCAATAATTTATGAAGATCAACTTGTATATATATATAATTTTTTTTAATATCACAAATTTTGTTTATCATATAGTATTTGTATTTACTACTAAAATATAAATAAGCTAAACATATTTTAATAATTATTAATTTGTATCTAATTTGGAACCTCCTAGTAATATAATAAGCAATTTCGTTACTATCTAATAATAAAATTTAATAATATAATGCTATGTAGTATAGAAAACATTTCATTAAATAAAACTACACACTTCAAATGTAGTGACGGTGGCATTGGTGAGATTGGAAGCAGGCCAACAAAGTCCCAAAATGACTATGATATTAATTTGCTATTTGTTTGTACGAGTGGCAAAATTGTATTTATAAAAAATAACGAGGGATTGCATTGTCTAAAATAAATTAGTTACCTAAAAAGATTAATCTTTATATTCCTAACGCAATTTTAAAAGCTACAATTCCCAACTCCACTTGCATGCGGTTTTTAAATATAACCTCTATCACCTAAAAGTGTTTTTTTTTTGTTCACCAAACACATTCCAACTTAATTTTTTAAATTGAAGGCGCTTATTAACGGTAGAGAAATAATTACAAACACCCACTTAGTCAGTTTGAAACGACCTCAAATTTAAATGGAGGATCATTTGTATATTTTCTAAAGTCAAGCCATCATTTGCATTATACTCATGAGATATACTTTTACTAAAGCGAGCTGCTACTACAACTATCAAAGAATATTTCAAAGCCACTTTTCTTAGTAGTGGAATTGCCTCTAATTTTGAGGTTTTCTCATTGTTTTTTTACCTTTTTAAGCTCCGTTATTTAATCGTAATTCTTTCTCCGATTTCACTTTCCCTCAAATAGATCATTGAATTTTATTTGCATTTAAATTTTAAATTTGTTCAATATTTATCTTTTCTTAACTTTATGATCACTTTTGAATAATTTTGTTTAAATTTAGTCACTAAAATTTAATTTTCTCATATTTCAATTTCTAAGAGCACAATACTGTAACTGTTCTGAATTAATTATTGGAAAAAGATACTTCGAAATTGACTAAATCATAACAATTTTCCGATATCTTTTTATTATATATAATATATATATTTGATAAATGCATTTCTTTTCTTTTCTTTCTTTAGAAAAAAAAAAAATAAAATAAATGACATAAATGTGACAAAAGTGGATTTAGAGTAAATTTTTTTTTTTTTTTTTGGGGGGTGGGGGTAACAAAAGAAAAAAAAAAAAGAAAATCAATGGGAACAATTGCCCTAAGTGTCTTCAATGTGCCTCTGTCCCTGATTCAATGTATAATGATTTTCATACGTTTAATAGATAATGTAGTCCATTCCTTCAACAGATAAGAATCACTGGGCTACTTTTGAATTTTGTTTCATATATGCATTGTTTGGCATATTTTTTGTGCTCTTCGAAGAAAAACATATAACATCAATCAGATCGGTTCTAAAATCAATGCCAATTTGAAAGGGCCTCTAACTTGTAGCTCAAAATATAAGACGATTATATTTACTTTGATATGAATTTAAATTTTGATTTTTATGTCTGAGTTGTGTTGCATTCACAATCTAAAATTATTGCATTCATAATCTAAAATTTTTATATTCAAAAGTCAAGATGTAGAAGTAAAATTGTTGCATGGGTACAGGATACACACACATATTATATAGCAATAGTAAGAATTTTTATTTTTATTTTATTTATTTATTTATTATTATTATTTTAAACATGTCAAGAAATACACTTACACGTTTTTATTTTACCTTTACGAGAATTTGAACCTTCAATTTTTTATTTTTTATATTAGAAGGCAAAAAAAAAAAAAATTTACACTGCAGCCATTAGTGATATTGTAAGTTCTAACAAGCTTTTATCCCCAATAAATTGATTATAGTTATATCCGATTATAAAACTAATATAGTCAGTCACTCATCAGATGAGCGTCCTCTGTTTTTGCAATGAAGTCAAAGTTTGGGAGGTGAACAAACTAGTCTTCAGCCAACCACATCTAATCTAACTCACATTTGTCCTACCAAATCTTCAGGATAATACAACATTTTGTTCTCCATAAATACCCACTAATTTATCTTCTTATTCAACTCATCTCCCAAATTCTTCAACTACGAAAAAAAATGGCTACTTCCAAGCATTTTTCCGTTCTATCTTTGGTCATAGCATTCTTTCTCTCGAGCATCCACGTGAGTATGGCAGCTCGCCAACTAATGCAAACTTCTTCTCCATCGGTGGTACCTGGCACCTGCACTGCCTACAATACCGCCTATGCCTAAAGCCGCGTTGCCTCCTCTGCCCACCATGCCAACACTGCCTCAGGCCACATTGCCACCACTACCAAGTACCCCGCTACCAACACTGCCAACTACCCCGTCTCTGCCAAAACCCACCCTGCCACCATTGCCAACCACCCCATTTCCATCTTTGCCAAATCCGACGTTGCCAACCATGCCTGCAATTCCAAAGGTGTCACTACCTCCATTGCCAGCTATGTCACTTCACTCCCAACTTCAATCCCAACTATTCCAACAACAATGCCGACAATCCCATTTCTCGCACCACCTCCATCCGCTAAAACAAGCCCCTGAGATGCTACTGTTACATTCATCTTTCTCCCATGTACATGTAAGAAAGTTTCATGTTCTGGCAGTTTGGCTAATGGCGAGTCCATGTATACCTACATATCTGGACGTGCTGAGGTTTCTTTTCATGGATTTCTTAACTCGCTTCTGTACTAATGTTTTTGTCTTTGAAAATATTGTTTATTGTTGTTCCACATGAATATAATTCCTTCTTTTTATTGTACCAGTACCATTTCTTGATCCAAATTCAGTCAATTCACCCAATTTCGTTCCATGTCCATTTTTAAGCATATAAATATTCGATTTCCTAACTGCGAATAGCACAGTGAGCACCCAATTCCCATCTCCCATCTTTTACAATTCCAGTTTTGCCACCATGCAACAATTTCCGAAGGTGACACTAGCTACCTCTCCTGCTAGCAATCTTTTTCAATGCTCAGTATCCCTCAAATAGAAATCTTACTAGTTTCTAACCTAAAGCTTGGATTTGCCAACCAAACTTCACTATAATTTCTCCAAGAATGTACCATAATCTTGAATTATATGAGGAGAAAATAAAAATAAAATAAAGGATAAAAAGAAGAAACTACAAAAAGTCGTGTGAAGGAGAATGGAATATAATAGGTATCGAAGTGAAAATTTTGTATACAACACACGATATATCAGTACAAGAACTTTTTTCAATCATTTACATTTTCCTTTTTTTAACCCAACATGTCAACTTATAATAGTTAAAATTTCCTAGCAACAAGTCATAACCCAATTGTGCAACACATCAGCCAATGTTGTGTCACTGGATGATCTGAAGAAAAAGAAGAAGAAGAAAAGAAGTGCAGTCACCAGTCCTGCAACTGTTGCCTTCATGTTGAGGTCATGAATGTTTAACAATTTCCTCTAGTCAACATAAAGGGAACCAAATTGCACTTGCGAAACTGCCCATCTGTTTCAGTGCTTGTAGAACACGATCTCTCGGCTACAATTGGCTTTGATGGCTTCCTCTAAACTCTCAACCCGGTCAAAATCAACTTTGAAACTAACCATGGTAACACCATCCTTACCAGTATCATAATCCTGTTTGATGTCCTCAACTTGAAAAGACTGTAGCTGCAAATAACCAAGCACAAGTCTATAGTCCAGTGAGAGAAAATCTTCACATGAAAACTTGAGATATATTCGAAAGTATAATCCTCAATTGTTTTCCAATCACAATAGCAGATGCCTCGGTAATTTGTACAGTTCAATACAATTTCATTCATGTAACATCTAGGCACTATACATATGAGACTGTAACATTGAATTAAAAAGACTCCAGTAGAGGGCTTGGTAAGTACGCGTCTCTCTTATGAAATGTGGAGCAGGCAATGTTACAAAGACTCAGCTGTTTATCCCAAAATACCTGTATCAACATAAAACGATACAAAGAGGGGTACAGGACATGGGTGCAGAAATGGCACCTATTGGAAACATGCCAACTGCAATCTCCTATCAAGGGAAGAAGAAGTTGAAGAAGGAAGAAATGGAAAAAATAGAGGGGCAAATGAGGAAGAATTTTAAAATTATAAAAAATAAATAAATAAATTTACTTTTTCTCCAGATTTGTTATTGCCAGGGCCAAAAGCCTAGCCGGAATAACATGCCAGACACAAATCTGGTCACCGACAGCTGATAAGGTTCTCTCTCCTCACTGTGCTACGTCTTTTCAAAGAAAACAAAGCCCTCAAATCCTAGAGATAAATCGTTAAATTTTGTATTAAACCCTTCAATTTTACATGTTTTTAGTTCATGAATTGTTATTTAACCCTCATTTTGTTAAACATTCATAGCACCCTTTAAAAACAATTGAGGATGGTGAGAATCGAGGATATGCCATTTTTTTACGTTCCATATCAGGTTTTGAGGATGAAGCAATGACATTGTTTGGGGACACTGGTTGGAGTTGGCAATCAATAGGAGTGGACAGCCAAAGAGAAAAGGAGGTCTAGTTCGATGCGGGAGAGAACTAAAGAAATGTAAAGGTCAATTAACTATGATGGAAGAGATAGAAGGGAAAAGGAGGAGTATGTTGCAAAGGGCTAGGGGTCTCTGGAGGTAATGTTTGGTAAGGGAGAGAGTTTTTTCTTTTCCAGTCTTTTTTTATTATTATATATTTTTATTTGTTTGTGTGTGTATGGAGTTGGAAATAGGAATAGACCTCAAGTTACTGCTGTCATTTTTTCTTTTTGGTGCAGCTCATTATTTTCAAAAGTTGATGAGTACATCGCTTTGTGCCTTTAGTGGATTCTTTTACTTATCAAAAAGAAAGGTGGGAGATAAAAGTACTAAGAACAAATTTGAAAATCAATTTACCCAAATCGTTGCTCTAATATGTTTTTATATTAAATGATAGATGCCCAAACACAGTGAAGGTAGAGCTTACCATTGAAGAAGATGACAGTTGAGACTTGAAATCTTTATGGTGCTTCACTGCCTCCAAACAAACTTAGATAAATTTGACCACATGGGCAGGTTGTGATTGGGAAAAGACAACAAAAGGAGCAAGGTTTCATTTTCAGAAGGATTTAACCTCACATGTCTTGTAATGATGACAACCAAATGAGAAAATACCATAGATAGGAAGGGGGTAAAAAACATATGCTACTTTTGTGTATTTTGAGGAATAAAAATTTCATCTATCATTTGGAAAACACCATACTATCTACTAGAAAAGCACAACAAGAGATGAAAATGTGAAAGGGAATCATACTGACTATTGATATTATAAAATTAAGATGCCCAATTCAAAGAATGCCAATGAATCAGAAGGACTTCTGAAAACACATAAAGCAGATCTTACCTGATGATACAAAACTCCTAAAAGATCAAATGTAACCTCCAGACCCATTGGAACCTACCAAAAAAAAAATAAATAAATAAAATTGTTATTACATAGAGTTTAATTCTATCAGTAAGGAACATGAATGGTCATATCAATTGAGAAATTCTCCCTAACTTGCAAATAGTTAAAGTTTTAGTACAGTTATTAGCATGGATCAAAGACAAAAAAATAAACAGCTTTTAGTACAGTTACAAACATTGATCAAAGACAGAAAACAAAACAACTTTTAGTATAGTTATTAAAATGGATCAAAGACAGAAAAATAAAGCAGCCCAAGTAAGCAATTTATTACTTTGGATTTCACAAGACAAGTTGGGGCGTTTTTCAAGCATTCAGATGTCACTCCTCCATAAGCCCTGACCAATCCTCCAGTGCCTAGTTTGATACCTCCAAAATGCCTGACATTAAGGAGAATAAATATAGAAAGGGTACCAAATCATTAACATACCATAGATCTTCTGCCTGAACATATATAACAAAAATTTATACTTGGGACTTAATAAACAGTGATCTATCGTAATGCAAGAGCAATATTGTAGTATCACAAGCTAGTGCAGTCTTATGAAATCATACACGAAAAGGTGTTGTAGATAAAGACAGTAATTGTTCATCAGTGGCATATGAAAATAAATACCTAATCACGACCACCATCACTCTATCTATTCCTGAAGAAACAATTGCCGAATGTATTGGCTTGCCAGCTGTACCAGATGGTTCACCATCATCATTACTCCGATACTGATCGCCAACCTAGAATAGAAGGAACAACTAATAGAAGAGCGGAGAAAAAAAGGATGCTGCGACCTTTACATGCTTACCATGAGCTCTCCCTTTAATCCTTGCATTTCTAACATGATTTCTAATCCATGCACTTCATAGGAAAGGACATACAAGTCCTACCATCAATTTTTCACTTATAAATGACATAAACACCCTACCTCTTCAATTTTAAAAATGCTCATTGTAGCCAACACATGAAAATGTTGGAAATGGAACTCACATATAACCCCTAAAGGGTGGTCAAGCACACAGATTAAAAGAACATCACATGCTTTATATGAATTAAAGCTCCATTTGGATTGAAGGATTGATATTAATGAATTTATCACTTAAAACAATAATAATGAATTCAGAGAAAATGATTTAGGTCTAGGTTATGAATACTGATTTGAGAGACACTTATAAGTACGTATATCAAATGAGCCCGATCCTCTGCTGCACAGCAGTGTGTATTTTCAGCAGAGGATTCCATTTCATTTCAAATAACAAGGTGGAAGGAGTCATTTGCAATCCATACTGATAATGTCTCTCTAATGGAATCCAACATCAATAAACAATCTTTTTGTTTACATTCGAACACATTCATTTCAAATCCACTCGTTTATCCAAATGGAGCCTAAAAGGAACGGTACCCATATTAGGATGATGAAAAAAATACGGGAAAAAAAAAGTCAGAAGAACACAAAACTGGGATGATACATGCACACACACACACACACACACACACATATATATTATACAATAATAAACATATACCTTATAAGCCCAACAATTATGAGTGGCTTTATTATCACGGACCTGCGTGTTGACATACAATCCAGATTAATTACATTTAAACAGCAAAGAAATTGGTACCCATCAAAACAACGTGTTATAATTGATAAAATGAGCAGCCAAACAGAGCAGGGAAATGGAGTGCGACGAATGATGGAACAGAGAATACAAGGTAATGTAAAAGTACCTCAGAGAGGAAGGAATGAGCGGACCGTTCGTCGGAGATGTGGCCGGCAATGGCGATGAATTTGCTCTTTTTGATCTCTCGTTCGAATGCGACCCTCTCTTTGATAGTCGTGTACGCACCAGCGGAGTTGGTGGCGCCGCCACTGGCGGTGGTGGTCATCTTTAGTCTATTAGCTCCGACGATTACGGAAAGCGACGCCGACAGGCGTTGGTGGTTGAGCTTGTGGTAGGGAATCAACGATGAAATCGTCACCGGCATTTGGGTTTTTGGGCACCTCTCGCGAACCCCTTTTTTTCTCTTTTTAGGTGCGGACTCCTATTACACAGGACGATGTCGTTCCGAGTTCCAACATAATCAACATTTGGGCCTTGGGGGTTCAATTATCTGAAAATTAATTTTTAAAAATAATAAACCACTATTCTTTATATATATATATATATATATATATTCATAATGTCACTAAACCAAATGAACTTTGATACAGTTTTTGTAATTTTCACATTTTTAAGCAAAAGTTAAGTTTACACCCTCAAAAACCCATAAGCTTAAATTTTTGGGTCAAAGAGTAAGAATTTGACTCTTGTTGTTTACAACGTGTAAACAGCTTCTTTAACTATGATTCATGAGTTTCGAACATAGAGTGAGGGTAAATTAATCATTCAACTTTTATTAGATTCTTTTCCTTGTTTATTTAGGTGGTTGATATTAGCTTTCCACAAAAGTCCCCTCCACTTTACTATTATACTAAAATGAAGTTACAGAATAATTCCTGAACACAAGAAGTATAATACCATGTTCAGTTTGGAATTCATATTCTCTCTCACGTTCTCTACCACGTCTTTTGTATATACGTTTGCACTCAAAAGATTGTATCCTTCAATTTCTTTACGAAAGAGCAATAATTTTCTTTGAACAGACATATTGGAGTCTAAAACATTCCTTCGATCTCAAGTACAAAAACAATCAAAATTGAAACTACAACTTGTGATCAAACTAATCAAATAAAAAGTTGAATAAACCGTTTAATTCCATCTCTTCAACGCATATAAACTGTCCATTTGTTTCGTAATACGCAAATATTTCAATCATTTATTTCTTGGTTATATTTTTTGGCTAAGTAATCTTGCGGTGTTTGATTAAGATGCGTATATGTACATATCATAAGATTTTATAACTTGGTTCTCTCTTTTGAGGCCAACTCCAGAAGTTGTTTGGTGGTTTTTTAAAAGGCACGAAAGAATAAGAATTCAAGAATGATGGAGCACTTTGAAGGGTACATCTATTGTTCGGCTTGGGTGTCTGCCTATCTGTCGCGCTTGAGTTGATTTTTAATCCCTATTTTTCTTCTCTTTTTGTCAATCAATTCTTGCAATTTGTTCATACTGTCAATTAAGCCCGTAAATGAATTGAGCCGAGTTTGGGTTCGACTCGTTTGTTTACAGAGTTTGCTCAGACTTTTATTAATTTAAAAAATTCGGGCTCGATTTGTTTAATAAAAATAATTTTTTAAAAAAAATTCGAAAAGTAAACTTGTACAACGTATTACAAATATAAGAATAATGTACATCAAATCCATTACATAGATAAACCCAAATTAAATGACACAATCCAAATAAGACACCCTAGTGACAGTTTCAATCAACAAAACTCAACTCATAAGCCCAAAAACAAAACTAAGAGTAATATGTACTTTCTCAAAGTCACTATCATGAATCATCGTTACTTTATATATATATATATGTATAAATATATAAAGAGTCTGAACCTTGTTCATGAACCTTAAGGAGTCAATGTACACTAGCCTTAACGAGCCAAGCCCAATGTTGTTCAAGCTCGGCTCGTTTGCTAAACGAGCCTGTAAATTGGGTTCGGACTCGACTCATTTACTAAACGAATGAACCCGAACCGAGCTCGAGCTGTTCAACATCTCAATTCATTTACAGCCCTACCATTAATCAACAAATTTAGAGTGGCTTGGGATGAGAACTGTGACTTTTCTCTCTCCAGTGTTCTGTGCTATGGCCTTCTGCCTCCAAATTAGAGATGCAGAGAACGTGAGCGATGGTTTCCGAAAAAGAAAAAAGGATGAAAAAGAATGAGAGACAGGATGTGAGAGAGAATTTGTAAATGGTAAAGGGCAATTATGAGATTAAAAAAATATGAACTAAACATGGTGTTGTTTAAAGACTTTTTTGTAGTTTCATTTTGAGAAAATAGTAGAGTGGAATACCATAGAATTTTTGTAGAAAATAACATTTATTTATTGTTTAGAATGCGATGAAAACAATTCATTCCATCAGAATAGTGAGTAGAATCCAAATCCACAGCATCATCAAGAAAACCCACGTTGGCCTTAATCCCTATGGCATATGTTACTAATTCATGGGCAGCCAAAGTTGAAAATCACTAATAAATCCAATTTAGATCCAATCAAAGTTGCACATCTAAATCGGCGATGATTGAAGAACCTAAGATTCTTATCTTACTGATTTATTTGTGTTTTCTTATACAGGTAATGAAAGAGCAAATGAAAATTAATTTTTAAAAATAATAAACTACTAGTCTTTATATATATATATATATTCATAATGTCACTAAACCAAATAAACTTTGATACAGTTTTTTGTAATTTTCACATTTTTCTCGACTAAGCAAAAATTAAGCTTAAGCTCTCAAAAACAAGTTGTAAACCTATAAGCTTAAATTTTTGGGTCAAAACTTTCGGGTTAAAGAGAAGTATATGGTTTGTTATAGTTGGTGTCGGAGGTAAACTCATTCCTGAGTGTGCCCCATTGAGAGGTGTCGGATCCGAACAAGATGTTCCGAGCACAACAAGGGTGTTGCAAGTTTGAGTGAAAAAAATGTTAGAGAAATTTTGTCCCACATCAAATCTAATGGAAAAAGTGATTAAGTATATATGGACATATATAAAACATTACTCAATAGTTAAGCTTTTAAATCAAGGAGTAAGGGTTCGACCTTTCTTTATAACATGCAAACAGCTTCTTTAACTTTGGTCCATGAACTCCAAACATAGAGTGGGGTTAACTCGTTTATTTAGGTCATTCAACTTTTATTAGATTATTTTACTTGTTTATTTTGGTTGACATTAGCCCTCCACAAAAGTCCCCTCCACTTTCATATTATACTAAAATGAAATTACAGAATAATTCCTGATTCCTGAACCCAAGAAGTATAATACCATGTTCAGTTTGGAATTCATACTCTCTCTCGCGTTCTCTCCCCTACCACGTCTTTTGTATATACGTTTGTACTCAAAAGATTGTATCCTTCAATTTCTTTATGAAAGAGCAATAATTTTCTATGGACAGACATATTGGAGTCTAAAACATTCCTTCGATCTCAAGTACAAAAACAATCAAAATTGAAACTACAACTTGTGATCAAACTAATCAAATAAAAAGTTGAATAAACCATTTAATTCCATCTCTTCAACCCATATAAACTGTCCATTTGTTTCGTAATATGCAAGTATTTCAATCATTTATTTCTTGGTTATTTTTTTTGGCTAAGTAATCTCGCGGTGTTTGATTAAGATGTGTATATGTACATATCATAAGATTTTATAACTTGGTTCTCTCTTTTGAGGCCAACTCCAGAAGTTGTTTGGTGGTTTTTTAGAAGGCAGGAAAGAATAAGAATTCAAGAATGATGGAGCACTTTGAAGGGTACATCTATTGTTCGGCTTGGGTGTCTGCCTATCTGTCGCGCTTGAGTTGATTTTCAATCCCTATTTTTCTTCTCTTTTTGCGCATCAATTCTTGCAATTTGTTCATACCATCAGTTAGGCCCGTAAATGAGCTGAACCGAGCTTGGGTTTACTTAGGCTCGGCTCGTTTGTTTACAAAGTCTTCTCGGCGGCTCGTTTAATAAATATAATTTAAAAAAAAAAAAAAAAAAAATTCAAAAAGTAAACTTGTATGACGTATTATAAATACAAAAATAATGTACATCAAGCCCATAACATAGATAAGCCCAAATTAAATGATACAATCCAAGTAAGACACCCAAGTAATAGGTTCAGCTTCAATCAGCAAAACTCAACCCATAAGCCCAAAAACAAAACTACAAGTAACATATATATTCTCAAAGGCAGTATCATGAATCATCATTACTTTATATATATAAATATGTATAGATATATAACGAGCCCGAGCCTTGTTCATGAGCCTCAACGAATCAATGTTTACGAGCTTATACGAGCTAAGCCCAACGTTGTTCAAGCTCGGCTCGTTTAGTAAACGACTCTGTAAATTAGGCTCGGGCTCAACTCATTTACTAAACGAATAAACCCGAGCTGAGCTCGAGCTGTTTATGAACAATTCAGTTCATTTGCAGCCCTACCATCAATCAACAAATTTGGAGTGGTTTGGGATGAGAACTGTGAATTTTCTCTCTCCAGTGTTCTGTAATACGGCCTTCTGTCTCCAAATTAGAGATGCAGAGAACGTGAGCGATGGTTTCTGAAAAAGAAAAAAAGGAAAAAAAAGAAAGAATGAGAGAGACAGGATGTGAGAGAGAGAATTTGTAAATAGGAAAGGGCAATTATGTTATTTTTGTAGAAAATAACATTTATATATTGTTTAGAATGCAATGAAAACAGTTCATTCCATCAGAATAGTGAGTAGAATCCAAATCCACAGCATCTGACAGAATAGGTGTGTAACCATCAAGAAAACCCACGTTATCCCTATGGCATATGTTACTAATTCATGGGCAGCTAAAGTTGAAAATCACTAATATATCCAATTTAGATCCAATCAAAGTTGCACATCTAAATCGGCGATGATTGAATAACCTAAGATTCTTATCTTATTGATTTATTTGTGTTTTCTTATACTGGTAATGAAAGAGCAGATTTAGACATTCATTATTCATTTATATAATATTGAAATTCATTTTTATTAGTTGCGTAAATTCAAAGTTGGTCTAGTGTTCATTGGTGAACCTTCATAATCTCTGTTTTATCAGCTTGTTTTACAAGGGATGTTAATATTAAATGCATACATTTTCATAATGTGATCACTTTTTCATGAGTCAAAGTGCAGTAATTTTTTTATTTTTACAAGGCTAAAAAGGTTAGAGGTTAGATTATTAAATGTAGAGAGTCGAAACCTGACACTCTAAATTTCTCCGGAAGCCTAACTTACTCTAATTCATTTGCGCAGTAAATAAATTATTCCTCAATTACAAATATCAGTAACATATAATTTAATTAAAAATCAAATTTAAACACCAGCGCCAAATACAATGGCTTCAGTTTCATCCGGACAATATTTGTTTAAATTACTTGTTTCTATTAGAAGGCG